TACTTAACACAATAATGACTAAGGAAGCGCGGAGGTTATACTGTGTCAACAACTCTCCACTCTCCACTCTCGAATCTTTTCATCGTCTGTTTGAGATCATGTGGGAAGCACAAACACTCTTGCTGTAACTTCTTCATTTGCCAATTTTGATCTTTTTCTCTTTTCTATATTAAGCACGTTTCTTTCTTTTTTGAGAGAGAAGGGAGTTTAAAGCAAACTTCATTAAGAAAATCTGAATTGACGGTAGCGATTTGCGAAGTGCAAAACTAATTACGGCTCTCGGGGGAAGATGGTTAAAGGTGTGAAGTTGAAGAGCGTTGCTTTCACGGAAGGGACTTGATTGAAAGTCAATCACAATGACGATCTAAACACTGAAATATTAAAGATTTAAACAAAAAGTTTTTCATATTTCGTAAAAATCCTACCTTCACTAGGATGTTTATTTTAATAATTATCGAACATTTGAAAGCTTTCTGATCTTTTAAGTCTATTGCGTTATCTCTTCAGAAGTTCGATTACCTCCTTTGAAGATATATCACCTCCCATGGATATGAAATATAAATATGAACCGTGATGCATGGTGATATTTCCGGTATTTGCATTTCCATTAAAGCCCGTAAACCTTCAAATTGAACACTCTATTTTCCCCATCTATTCTCTTGCTCGATTGCTTTAAGAATTTCAACCTAGATTACTAAAGAAATAGGCCATTCTCTTTCTTTATTAACTATGGTCAGCACTAATCTCTGTTTCTCTCTCTTTAGAGATAGACGTGGGGATGAAGGGAACTGAAATCTTATTTATTTAGCGTTTAACACTGAAAGTTCCTTCTATTCCTTTACTTTACTGTCATACGTAGAAGGGAAAACTAAGGTGACTAACGAAATAGGCCATTATCTATTTTTGATAAGCAAAATGGAGAGAGAGAGAGAGAGAGAGAGAGATAGGGGGAGAAGAGGCGTTTTTTTATTAAGATCTGATTTACCTAGCAAGTGATTCGCATCGTGCCTGAAGCTGACATGCGGGGATTTAAGAAAGTGTTGTTTTCGTCCTGTTAGTGGCAGAAACTTTACTGAAGATCTAACCCATTGATAGACCGATCTGATTGTTTGAAATAATTTCTTAAAATATCTTTCTACCAATGATTGGTGAATAAACGTGACTCATGTGAAAAAGGAAGTAGGTCGATTATTTTTTTAATTTAAATACTGTGACCTCGCCATTTGAAATGTCGGACTGTTATGAAATATATGTAAGAATGATCGGTGAATGTATTCAGAAAAGGAAGGCTACTGTCAGATGGTTATCTCTTTAGGATTATTGTCAGCCCTCCTAGAAATTAAATATAGATACTTTAGCAATTAGTTCTACGACACATTCAAAGGGTATTTACCTTTTGACAGTTCCGATGTCCATGGACATGGTGCAAATACCTTTCTGGCAATTTGAACTTCAAATACAGACACGGTGTTCTGACGCATGGTGATGTATTGGGTATTGGCAATGAGATTAAACTTGTGAAGCTTGAATGTGAATACGGAAATTCGGGGTTTTCCCTTACTTACTTGTGATGGTTTGCATTCATAACTGGAGAGAAAGTGTGATATATTATAGGAAATTAATATTTGTATTGGCTGTAAATCAAACAGTCAGAAAGTTCGTGTATAGAAACAAACAAGTAAGGCATAACAACGTAGATATGTCATAACTTGAACGTGACCATGTAAACAATATGTAGATAAATAACATCTAAACATAATTTTGTATTTGTTTGATTTTATTTGATTTTATTCACTATAATTCAATATAAAAACATATAAATAACAATATACATGATAGCATGAGAAAGTAACATTGGATGGATCCTCCTGCTCAGCTGTACCGGTGCAGCACAGATATTCTACCGAGGGGTCCAGTTTACAATACAAAACAAATGAGAGAAAATGATATTATCACAAATTAAAATTCTTAACATATTGGTATAATATAATAACAACATCAACACAGTATCATGCCCAGGCGCGTACGCAGGGGGGGGGGGGGGGGGGGGGGGGGTTTGGGGGGTTAAACCCCCCCCCTTTGGAAATTTTTTGTGTGTAAACCCCCCTAAAAAAAACCTAAAACCCCCCCCCCCCCCCTTTTGGATTTTTTTTTTTTTTTTTTTTTTTTTTTTTTTTTAATTATTAAAAAAAAAAAAAAAAAAAAAATTATTCCCATGGCCGACCTAAAAAGGTGACCTTACCCCCCCCCAACGGAGCAAAATGTCAAATTTCCAAATTTCGAGACCAAAAAAAAAAAAAAAAAGTGTCCCCCCCCCCCCCCCCCCCCCCCCCCCCCCCGCTTATTCAGCGGTCGGCTGAGTCGTTGCGATTTTTTTGGGACCAAAAAAAAAAAAAATGTGTCCTCTTACCCCCCCCCCCCCCCCGCTTATTCAGCGGCTGGCTGAGTCGTTGCGAAATTTTCGGACCGATTTATAAATGTTAAAACCCCCCCCCCCCCCCCCCCCCCCCTTGAAAAAATCCTGCGTACGCGCCTGATCATGCCCCACCTACCCTATTATTGATCAATATTAGAATTCTTCTATTTTAAAGGGAGATAGTTTTCAACGTATGTCTATTTCATAATCTTATGAATTCATTGTAATTTCGGGATGATTTTAAAGTAAAAGGTGCAACGTTATATTGTGATGCCCCGCGATATGAAAACATTTTACGACATGATTTGATGTGTGGTTTAGGTAAAGATAAATTTCCGATGGAACGTATTAGAACATGTATAGAAAAGAAACACCGAGGCTTCGCTCATATTAGTGTTTTGAACCTTTGACCTATAGGGATTGGTGCCAACATGAAACATATTTTTGTTTTGATCACCTCCCCCCTCCCCCCCCCCCGAAAAACCCTCCAAATTATCGACATGTTAAATACAATTAAACGAGCGAATTTCTCATCAAATATTCGAATTTCGTGACAACCGATAATTTTGAATGGTGGGGCGGGGGGAGTGGGATTCCACATCCGGCATCACTTCCCACTTCTAGCGACGCCTTTGAATGTCATTCCTAACCTTTCCATCATGTTAAAGTTGGGCAATCACGACCTGTCGAAATCAGGAAATTGTCATGAATCTCGACGAGAGATCAGCAATATAGAGTCTGATAAAATTTGACGGATAGATCTGTCGAATACTCATTCCCTTGCAAATATTCCTACACCAGTCGCTGAAATTGATGTCGAGACGGTGAAGCAGCAAATTGGCATGTTGACTTAGAAGAAATAAATTATAAAGCCTCGAAATCTGTATGCCCGTTCGATTTAAACATATATTTGTATTACACCCCGCAGTACAGGTATTATTATCTAGATCGATGAATTGCAGTTATTGAAAGAGTAACATATTGCATTCGGATAATGGATTTCCAAAACAATTAAAATGATAACTTATGAAATATTTTTTTCTGAGTTTTCGCATAGAAATGTTTAATACCATCCATGCTATATAATGCCAATTATTGCATGAATTTCATTATGAAAACCTAGTGATTATTTCACAAAATCCCCCACCATACTTTTGCAATTAAATTGAGTCTGGTTGCAAAAGTTGCTTAACCCGCTTTATATTTGTCCCCCCCCCTAAAGATATCATTTACAAAAGGTATTATATTCAAAAAAATGCTTTTAAAGTATTCCATTGATTGAGAGAACACCTGGATTTTTTAAGGATGGTTTTATCATTCAAGTAGATAGTAGTTCCATTTTGAGCTACTAAGTTAAGATGATGCGCCAAAAATGTATAAACTTGTTTTCATAATAAAACTTAGTGGTAATGAATAAGGATGATGTCACGTGTTATGTAATCAAACTCTTTGACTGCTTAACGTCTCGAGAGTAAAAGGTTAACGGCTATAACATTTTACATGAGAAGGCGAGTAATCAATTTTTATAAAAACATAAAGGCCTACATGTATATCTATATCTTAATTTGATTATTTTTTGTTGTTTGACCAATCAAAAACCAATACATTTTGATGCCGGATATAATGTTGCATAGTATGCGTCTTGGCTTTGCATTGACCTGCGTCATGATTGGTTGAAAGCGTACACGTGACCAGGCATTTATTTTGCCTAACGCGTAATTTGGAAATTGACCGGTCATTATCAAAATCATGTTATAAAACAAATAAAACATAATCTTATAAAACAAATAATACACATCATTGTTCGGGCATTAGTAAAATTACCCACACTCGGTACCTTCAAAACAGTCCAAACGTTGGTGTTAGACTGTTCCAAAGTTACCTCGTGAGGGTAATTCTTACTAATGTCCTCACTGCTGTGTATTATTTCTATAGAAGACATCACTGTCCAGCTGTTTCTATAGGCTCAAGGAGACGTTACATCCTGCTATGACTATGATCCCTCGGCGTGCCGGAGAGCCATTATAGAAACAGCTATGCTTCGAATGTTAAAGGAGTCCATATATTGTATATACCGAATTCTCACAAAAATCTACAAAGAATTCTTACCTTATCCTTTTCTTGAGTAAAGACTGGTTTAAAGAAATCACAGAAAATCCGAGACACTGTCTCTAAATCTTCGCTGGAAAGTTGCCTGAATGTTACGATTATTTGGGAATCGCACACACACTGCACTGTATGGTATCCTTTTTACACTTAAACCAATGGGGATTTCAGCAAGATTTATTCATGCGACCCGTTACCCGGTGACGACGGGCATCTTTCTCATAATTAACTATTGCCCTTCATCCGGGTAACGGGCAATTGTTCGTTTCTTTACAGGCATGGTTAAAATCACGACTCGAATTTAGATCATTCAGATGACAGATTTATTCAACATACTCAAGAGAGGTATATAATTTTCACTATCACTACCACCATCAAGATAATATCTATCATTTATCATGTGAACTAATCGTGTTGCAAGATTCTTGGTGTGTGGGATATAACATAATTTGTCCTCCTTTTTACTATTTCTATGTAGGAGCTAGTCTTCAAATAGTGAATATCTCCGCATCCGAGAGCGTTTTCATCAACTCTTCAGAATCCCTGGATTCGTATGGCGACAACCTGCATATCACGTGGTTGATTCACGTACCCGCCGGTATGAGCGCTCTCCTGAAGTTCACCGACTTCAGCCTCGAGTACGGCTACGATTTCCTCAATGTGGGTTTCGGCAGCGAGCCCGGGCTGGAGGAGACGAGGCTGATTACCTTGAGCGGAGAGCAACGACCAACTGCAGGGAAATCGGAGAAAGATGGCATCCGAACCAGACATCAGACATCGTGGCTGCAGTTCATCACAGACTCCATCACAGAGGGGACAAAGTACAACGGGTTCTCTGTCAAAATCAGTGCAATTGGTAAATATTGACAACGAAATATGTAGAGGGTTTGTTTCATTGTTTCCATGGACTGTTATCAGAGCCATTACTCTCCATTCATTGGAGATTAGGAAGACTCAACGGTGGTTTATTATAGCAGAGTGAATCATGTATCTCAATGCGCGATGTGCAATGCATGTGGCTCATAATTAATGTATGGAAAGCCATTTAATACAATATCAAACACTGGGTTTTGAAAGAGATGAAATAACTAAAATAATGTTTATATTCCTGGGGTCGAATGTACGGTCCTTGGTGTAGCTTGGCCTTCTCTCCCCATATCATATTATATATGAGTGTGGAAACATTATAATTTTTAAAGAAATTTGTTATTTATGTTTCGCTATCATTTCCTCTTCCATGTCTATGAATACGTTTGTACATCCGACGTTACTTGACGTAAGCCGTCCACATCATCACTGGGATGTATGATGGCTTCTGTTTCACAACGGCTTGCCACGCCTGTCTATCTTCTGTTAGCCTAGTGGCTTTAGTCAGGGTGTATGTTGTTGCAGTCCGTCTTGATGCAGTCTAACCATCTCTTAAGCTGGTCTTCCCCTTGGGCGTTTGCCATGTTACATTTGAGGGTATCTTTCCGGATCCATTCTGTTGATATGTCCAAAGTATCTCACTCTTTTTGTGGAATCTCTGTCGATGATGGTTTCTTCCATGTACAGTTGTGTTCGTATGTGTGTGTTTCTTATCCTGTTAAATCTGGTCAGACACACCCATGATTCTCCTGAGGCAAGCCATCTCAAAAGTGTGAAGTCTATTTTCATCGACCTTCTTTGATTTCCTGTTTCTGCACCATACAATGGAATCGATAACGCCAGGACTTTGTACAGTTCTACCCTTGTTGAGCAGCGTATATCCTTTGATTCCCAGATTTTTTTCGAGTGCTTTAAATGCTCCTATTGCCTTCCTAATGCGGTGTTGTACCTCTATCTTCCGAGCAGGGTCCTGTCTGGCTTATTGTTCCTCCAAGGTAAGTGAACTTATCTACTTGTTTTAGCTGTTCTCCTCGGATGTTTATATTTTAAGTAATTGAGGTTGTTTGCTTATGGCTTGTACTTCTGTTTTGGTAATGTTTATTTTCAGTCCAAAGTTTGAGCTGCTCTGATGTATTAGGTCAACTAGTGTTTAAAGGTCTCTATCATTGTCAGCTATAAGGACATGGTCGTCAGCAAATCCTAGGTTGTTGATTATCTGTCCCTGTACTCTTACGCCAATATTGGTGTCGTGTAATGCACAAAGCATCACAGCTTCAAGTAGGATGTTAACAAGTTGTGGGGACAGGGCACATCCTTGGCGTACACCAACTGTGGTTTTAAACCAGTCGGTCAGTTCACCATTCACTCTGACTGCACTGTTTGATTGTTGGTAGAGTGCTTGAAGTAGGTGTATGTATTTTTATGAATATCCAAAGAAGTTCATTGCTTTCCACAGCCCTTCCTGCTAGACTGAGTCAAATGCTTTTTCGTAATCGATGAAGCAGCATGGGAGACTCTGATTTCTTTCAAGGCGCTTTTCCATCATTTATCACAGGGTGAACGATTGGTCCATGGTGGAGCGGAATCCAGCTTGTGCTTTGGACAGCACTTCATCTGTTTTTTCATGACCCTTTGCTGCAGGATGATTCTGAACACTTTCCCTACATGTATGGTGATACGCGTTGACCCAGCAGCTTTGAATTCCGTCCGACACTAATAATTCTTGAATGCAATGTAATTGATATTAATGTCGAAAAATACATTTAACAGTACATGCAAATGAGAAGATAGTGAAAGTTTGTTTGATATGTTGTCAAATATGTAAGGTAAAAACAGGATCACTTTGCATAACAAACTGGAAAATATAATTCTTTTCTCTTTCTCTGATGTAACATCCCTTACACCCCTTAAAGATGAAGGAGTGGATCATAGACCGCAAGATTATTCTAATGAGAAGATTCACCTCCCAGATTATGCCGGAGGATCAGAGGTAGTCAAACTGGACTCGAATGCACTGGTATCGTACGTTTTCGAAGCACGCGAAGGGGCTTGTATAGGCATGTACTTGAAAGAGTTCAGAACAACTGACAGGTTAGTCGTTAAATTTCTTTTCATAGGCACTATTCCACTTTCAAAATACATTATAAATAGATACTTTAAAAGAAAAAATCAATTGTTTAGTTTTGAAAACAATTCTTTACTGTGTTGATATGTATCTCGCTCCATTTACAAATAAAGAGACACATATATATATATATATATATATATATATATATATATATTACATATGTATTACATTATACAGTTATTGACTGGCAGGGAGTGTAATATAACATTATTTGGACTGCTGAAGAGAGTTATATTTCCCAAGTGGTTATATTTTTCCAAAGCGCGCAGCGCTGAGGGAAAATATGGTCACGAGGGAAAATATAACTCCTTTCAAGTCCAAAGAATGTTATATACCCCCTGCCAGTCAATAACTGTTATATTAGATAGCCTTGGTTTTATTTTTTTTTATGTCGGGGGGGGGGGGGGGTCCATATTTTTTGGTGCCCGAATTCTTTTTGGGGGGGCAATCCAAATTTCAGAAAAAGAAGTGCAAAAAAAAAAACTGACTGAAAATTAATATTTTGAGATAATTTATGAAGAAAAAAAACTTTAAAAAAAAAAATTGGGGAATTTTTTTTTTTTGCAAGACGGTACCAAAAAACGCATTTTTTGGGGGGAAAAAAAATTCGAAAAAAAAAAAAATTCTACCCCAAAAAGCATTTTTTGGGGAAAAAAAAGAAATGGAAAAAACAATTTCAAGGGGAAAAAAAAAGTTCATGAAAAAAAAATATTGAAAAAAAAATTACCCTCGGTAATGGTGTAATGTGTGTAATTGATGACATACAGTCCTCTAGAGGGTGGCATGCATTGATTAAAAATATATTCATTGCACCGGCCGGTAAAATATAACCAACCAGGAAAAATATAACAATTTGGATCCTCGCAATTGATATCACGTGACAAGCTCTGTACCAATCACATCTCGGTATCTGTCTAATCTATCTAATATATATATATATATATATAATATATATGTAATTCGTATTGTTACAAATATACAAATGATACGATTTGGGATATGCTAATTTCAAGGGATTGATCGAGTTGACAGAAATAAACGCACGAATGATATTGAATCAAAGCTAACAAATCATCTAGATTTTCTTATTGTATTAAGATATTTTAACGTTGTTGCTCGGGATAATGAAAGATAGTTGCCCCGACCCAACAGTATATAGGGAAGGGGGGGGGGGGGGGTTAACATTATACATTGGAAGTCCATATATCAAGGAATTTGTGACTCTACCGTGAGATTTTGCGGCTTCCTTAAAATACCTTCATGTCTGTTGACCACCTTTAATCTCGGATTACTCCATTTCGTATTACTTTTGTGACTTTCCCGTTTGGACAGGAGTGCCATACTTTATATTGGAGATGGACAAGAAGTAGGGAAGAGAGACACTGTATTACATCGCCTTGTGGACACGACTGGACAATTCGATGCATTCCCCGTTGAGAGCTCGGGCAGATGGATGTGGCTTATGTTTACCAACAGCTACAGATCTGAAGTAAACGACGAGAAAAGCGGCTTCAAATTACGAATAACCGAAATCAAACGTGAGTTAAATTTTTTTTTAAATCCACTGACTATAAATGACTACATATAGTGTACGACATCATTAAATAAGAAACATATGGCCTTTCAATCATGTGCCACATTAGACAATCGGCACACTTACTAGTTTGTCATGAGTGCAGATCTGCACAAACAATATGTACCAGTTAACAAAAGGGTTGTGACCCCGATATGTTGTCATTAACATTGACAATTTCTTTCCTGAATATATCACATGCGTGCAAATGCATTATGAAGTAAATCTGAAATTACGATGAAAGGACTAGTCGAAAACTTCAACAAACAAATGTGAAAAAGGATTATTTTGCGTAGCATTGGGGATAATAAACCCACCGTCGTTATAGGCCTATTCGTATTAAAAAAAAAAATTATTTCTCTAAAGGAAATCTAATGATTAAATTTAGGCTTCTCGTTGTAACTGAAATGACAATCAACAATTAAAACAATTCAGACAGAGTTGGAAGACATATGTTTTCTGAAACCATGCATATGCATTCACTGAACCCACACTGTCACTGCTGTGGATATTTCAACTCAAGTGCTGAAACAGGGATGGCGTATCAAAGCGCTGTACAGATTGAGCTGGTTATTATTGAGACTGTAGTATTACACAAATTAAAATACTATAATTGTGTTGTTGTAATAATCATAGTTTTAAAACAATTACGGGCACATGACTGCATTAGTGTTTCGCTTTTCTTTACAGCCCTCATCACTCTCACACCAGGAATTCCATTGAATTTTTCCTTCAATGCATCTGAGAGTGAACAACCAACGGGTTCCAATGTGTATGCTGCAGCATGGGAAGTTGGAGCGCCGCCTGGAACAAATATCCGCCTAAAATTTCTCAAACTTGAAATGGAGTAAGAAATTGATTTACCATTATCCCACAGTGTTTAAAAAAAGGCAGTCTTCCATTCAGTTCATCTCATTACATAACAATAAATTTAAAATAAGTTTATTTACGCAGGGAAGCCTCATCAGCAACTATTCAATGCTGATGCTGTTTTCCCCGAGGGCCTTCGATTATTAATACCCCCGTAATTGTCAGATATCCTTTTACACATGATGTGGATTGATGTCTTACCAAATGATAGTGCGGTTCTGGGATTCGAACCCTCAACCCTTGGATTAAGACTCAAGTGATATAAACTACTAAACTACAGCACCTCCACCCTCATACATAGGACGATCAAGATGAGAATAATCACAGAGTAGACTTGTATAACAATCATATTATCATTTTCGGTACTTCTGCAGAAGTAGACGAAGATATAAACGGCATTAAGTTAAATTAAGGTTTAGGCATATACATTGCCACACCTGGGATGTCTTCGTACTGAAGACCATTAACCGATAGCAAGAAGATTTATATTTTAGCCCCCCCCCCCCATCACACACAAACACATAATATAACCCTCCCACAATGTATACCCACACTCTTCAGGAACCCTTTACTAGGATTTCTTTAATAAATAACCATCTTTCACATCGGATCCATTTTAGAAGAAAAACAATGAAAATTTAATCACTCACATGTTTTCACTTATTTTACATAATTTGTCGTTGTAGCATGCATTAGCATATATTTTTTTCTTGTTCCGAGAATGTATATGTGAAATTAGATTTCGTGTTAAATAGAAATCCAAATTATCACTGCGGTAATCTCGATATTTTCTTTTATTTCTTATTTTCTTACTAGCACTAATCTAGAGTTCTTCATGGTCGGTGACGGTTGGACTTACATAAGATATGAACAGTACAGGTATGCCGTCTCTTCGGGGAGGTGTTACAGTGACACCGATGGGACACGTCCTCTCGATGACGTCATCATCAATCTCTCCCGTGTTTTCATCGGTTTCTATGGATACGACAAGGGTGAGGACTGCATCATTGACGTTGAGCTGAGCGTGGTGGAGAAAGACGGTATGTATTATTATTGTTTTTTTGTTTTTTTTAAAACCCCACTAATTTTACTCCACTAGGGGAGTGTTTCACAAAGACTAAGATCGCCTTGAAGTTGGACTTAAATATGACATGACATTCATGCCACTGTTGCTCTTACCATTGGTCTCTCAATAATCAGATAATATTTTTTCCTTCAATAATGAACTATCATAAAAGCTCAATTCTGTAGATGTGTGACCATGATTTGTACATCCTTTGAGAGAGAAATGCCAGTAAATGGTGACAGCAAACAGTGAACGGCCTGCCATTGTTAAGTCTAACTTAAAGTCAATCTTAGTCTTTGTGAAACACCCCTAGGTTTGTTAAAACGTTCCTATTATTCCGATTCGGATTCGGGGCCATGTATGAACATGACTGACAAAGAAAGCGGACAAAATATACAGTTCCTCATGTAGACAAAGGAACATCCCTTCACTGCTATTATGTAAAAATGTGTAGAACAGGTGTCACATGCATATTCACTTTTAACATAATAGCAGTGAAGGGATGTTCCTTTGTCTACCTGACGAACTGGATATATTTGTCCGCTTTCTTTGTCCGTTATATTCATAGTGGTATCCACATTCAAATAGAGTATCTGTGTGATGTGGGCGTGATGTAGACGTGCTGTGTCGATGGGTGTGTGGGTGATATGTGTGCGTGTGTCGGGGGATGGTTATTTGCAACGTTTATTCGTATTTAAAGATATCTGTATCCCATTATTGCCTTGTACAAGTGCTAGTTTTTAGAACAAGTCATTTCTCGAAGTATATAGGAAGTCTATCCTGGATAAATATCTTTTTCTTGAGATAATAAGCCGATTTTCATCTTACGTAACATTCGCCCTGGATATATTTACTGGTGTCAAGGTGAATAGGACTATAGAGGGAAAATGGCTCAACTCGTTCATACCAGTGGTTTCAATTGGAAAGGGAAAATAAAATATACTTTGCGATTAGTTTGAAAATACAAAACTTATTTTTTGGTTACAACCACAGGTTGGGTAATTTGAAAATGGTTGACAATATAGGTACACAAAAATACTTAGTTTTTCATTTAAAATACCTTAAAAAAGAACACAGCATTAAAAAAGCATGAACAAAGACAACACTCGGAAAAAGTGAGATATAAACCAGAAATTTGACTTTGTTCAAACAATGAATAATATGGCGAATCCATCTCATTTTAACTCCCAGAAAAATTAACTATGTTCTATTTGAAAAAAACGAGTTTAATTATTTCAAAAGTTTTACCATGTTTACAGTTAATTGATGATAGACGGAGGAAAAGATAATTAAAGAAAAAGAAGAAAAAGAGAGAACCTATAGAGCAATAAAGGGAAAGAGAAAGAGTGAGGCGGTGAGAATATTTACTTTGGGGAAAACCAAATTTAAAGAAAAAATGGTTTTATATGCAGGCAATCTCTGACCCGGATCTCTGATAATTAAACAAACATTATGTATTACATGAAGCATCATGTTCCTTCAATTTCTCAACAAATTTCTTTCTTTTCATGACAAGTAAAGTAAAATCTGTTTGTATGGATTAGGTCATTCCATTTTGGGGGTGCTCATTTAAAGTGACTTGATAACATTGTTGAAGGTTGATGAAAAAAATTGCTTAATTTTTGTATAAAATGTTACTTACTATATTTCTTCTACTGTACTAACCCTCTGACATGTAACAAAACCTGAACAAATTCTCAAACCGATGTATGACACCCTCTAACAGTGATTAACAGTAAATTCTCCAGTAAATTCTCCCAACCATTTTTGAATTTTCCCAACCGTTTTCCCATGAAAAAAGGACATAAAACAGGCTATAAAACATCTGTCAACACTTAAATGTCTGGAATGGAATGTAGAGCCATTTTATTGCTTTGTGACGATTTCCATTCACCTAAAATGTAATAATATAGTTGGGAGAATTAAGGAATCGATCAGATCAGTTTTCTCAATTTGTACCATGAATAATGGTCCGTTTTCACTCAAATTTTCAGATTATCTTTAGTTGTACATCTAGCATTGATCGAAGTCACTACCTTAGCACCACTATCTCTCATCTGAAAAATGTTACCAAGTCCCTTTAATCACTTATCTTATAAGTCCTATTTTGTTTAATAGACCTTGACTACCCAGCGGGCAAGGGTTTGCCTGGTGGTGTCATACCTATTTCACCAATCGAGATGACGAGGTTGACTTCGCCCAACTTCCCGAATGAATATCCACACTCTAGTATCATGACATGGGTTTTCCGCGTTCCTCCACCCTACTATTTCAACATTTGCTTTGACGTCTTTGAACTCGCCGAGGGGATGGACAGGCTAAGCATTGGAAATGGAACGGCTCCGTTTGCGGCAGTTTCCGAAGTGTTTTTCGTAACCGAAACTGCGTCTGACGTTGCGAGCAAGAGGCTCGACGATCGTCATGTCATGGAAGAGTACATGTGGATCAGGCTTGAAAGTTACCAACTTGCGAAAAATGGGAGATTTGCCTTTAATATCACTGCCGTGATAGGTGAGTGGTTAATATTGATGATGATAATAATGATAAACAATCATGGCGATGAAAATGCAATCATTTTTATTATAAGCAACATAAAAAAATAAAAAAATAAATAGATGAATAAATAAATACAGAGAATGAGTAAAACAAACAAAAAAACTCTTGTGGAGCAAAGAACGCATACAACTGTGTTTTGTTCTCCAGGGCACACTTAAAAGGGTAAAAAGTATTTCATATGCAAAGGCCTAAATTGACAATTGTACATGTACTTATCATTTCTGATTAATTACAACAATTATTTTTGCTTCAGATGAAATCGTCCTTGAAAAAGGTGAATTCAAGCTGCTTATGTCGCCGTATTACCCTCTGCATTATGAAAACGATGCCTATGTTAAATGGCAAATAAAGGTGCCCGATACGGGATATGGTGTATTGGTTCATTTCATCGAGTTTCATCTGATTGACAGTGGAGACACTCTCACCGTAGAGGACAATGTATCACCTGCAAAGGACAGTATTCCAGCTGTCTTCACGGGTGTTGATATCCCGTCAGACTTCGTCCTTTGGTCTACCAAAGCGCTGATACGTTTCGAAACGAATTTGGCTGGTGTCGGCGCGGGTTTTAAAATCAAGGTTCAGCCAGTGTTTGGAGAGGGTACGTATATGAAAGATCAATTGGTTTTGGCTCATCATACAAAATCGTGACCCCCACTGATAAAGTTTGGGTTAGGGGAGAGGGGGTATATTTTCCTACTGTTTAGTTACAGGTTTATAAATTGAATGCGACGAATAAGGATTCATGATGATGATGAATCTTAGCAGTGGTATGGTGCAATATGTTTGTTACAGTCATTCATAATTCTGAAGGTTCATAAATCTGAAAGTGAATGGGAAACCTAATCCATTTACGGAATTATGAACCTTTCCAGAAGCAACCCTTTGGAATACAAGTGCCTTGTCTTTTTTACCGCCACAATCTAGGCCATTGCCTTAGTCCTCTTGGATTAGAAGGGGGCTGGATTCCGAATGGTGGTCTGGATGCATCTACTCAGATTGACTCTGAGCATACACCAAAGCACGCCAGGCTTCACGGCCCCTCCGCATGGATTCCATCCCCGGATGATCCCGAACCACAGCTGACGGTAATCGAATATTCCAGCTTAATTAGTCTTCAACACTTTTGGTTCACGTGGCAGCATATTTAGCCCATAGCGCAGTATTGCCAACGCCATTGGGCATTTGAATGTTTAAGTAATAACGGACTCGGGGAGGTGTGGGGGGGGGGGGGGTGTGGCGTATGTCAAAGCCCACATTGATTGTTCTGGCACGTCCGTGCCTGACTCGTATATACGTACACGTTGATTAAAACTATATCTTGAGTCTAATTGTAGTTTTTCACCTTATTACCATTGAAGTCCTAAACATGAAACAAAAAGTTTTGTTTGTGAATGGTTCCTTTAACATTATTTTAACTTTCGTGCTAGTCCAAGGTATGTTTCGCACACTACCAAGTATTAGTTATTTGTATTATTGAACTTTAAACATAAATTTAAATGAGAAAAAAAAATCATTGTATTTGATGTTTTCATCTTATTCAAGCTTTCGTATGAATATTGGCTTAATGCAGTTAACAGATATATTGACATTATCAGGAGACATATGGGACAAAAATGTTCGGATTTGCCTCTTTGAACTTTTCAATTCTACAGGTTACCTTTGAGATGGCATATGTTACCGGTGTAGTGATCCAGAGTGGTCCTGAAAGTGTTGGTTCGTGGGTGGACTCCTTCAGATTTAGATTCGATCCTGGCTTAGAGATCGAGGTTTGTTAAAATATCACATGCATCGTTTTATAAGTTCTAAGTTTTCTGAGTTCATGTACTTTTCGTTTCATTGCTTTATCCAGACCTAAGAAAGCAATGTGCGAACAAACGAAACCCATACGCATGCAAATCATCAAAGGCAAAAGTGGTAACCGTCAGAACTGCATCTTACTTATATTTGTCTTTAGATACTTGTAGTACAAGATTTTTATTATTTTATCAAAGTACAAACTACTATTTCCGCAACATTGGAGCTAAGCCATCTGTGAATATGATAAAACTCAGACCATTAAACCATTTAATCTCCAGTTGGAATATCCACAGGCTCTCAATGGTTTTAAAGGCTTAAAAACCCTGATGAAACCAGTCTAGATTCTCATATGGCTATTCTTGACAGAAGCTGGGAACCGCATGATCGAACGAATGAGTAATTTTTCAAAACTTTACTTTGCATTAGGACATAGTCATAGAAGGAGACTGGAAGCCCGGGAAAGTGTACCGCCTTCTGTTCGTCAAACATTATCGGATTGACTTAATGAGGATTAACCCACGGAGTAGGTCGATCTTTTCTTTGCGTCTCGAAATCCTGGGTTGCCGGACTGGTAAATATTTTATAATCTTTTTCTTTGTTCTTTCCGTTTTTTTCTCCATTTTCCCCCGAATAGTATATTCGCTACTCCTTTCTTTCATCTTGTCTTCTCTCTCTTTTCATTTTTGCCTCCTTGTCATCTGTCACCGCTTTGTTTCCTTTCCGTTTATTATCCTCTCCGCCCTCTTCCTGTACCCTTTCCCTCTCGTCTTTGTTTCTTGATCTTTCTTCTTCGTCTCCGTATTATATTGCCCTGATTTCTCCTCAACCTTCTTCCATCTTTCACATTGTCATGCTGTTCCCTTGCCATTGTCCGCTTCCCGCAAACACAGAGTAATTCTAAAGATGTTTGCAAAAACGTCATGAGGACGCCAATTTGATTACAAAATATTTCCGTCGCAAGAAAGATTTACATTTTCTGAGTTCTAAATAACCAACGATCAAAGCTCGTACATTATATTTGTATATTAACCAATCAATGATATCGTTGCAGATTGTTTCTTCGATCTCGGTCTTTCATCTGGCCATTTACCTGATGACAGCATCAAGATTTACCGTGAAGGAAACATCACCTCGGAAGCCCCAGACAGCGTTCGGATGCTTCCCGTTCACTTGTTTCCATCGGACGGGCTATCGTCTGGTGGGTCTGATGACGATCTCGCTGTCCGCATTGACTTCAACACCACCACCCTCGTCAAGGATATCATCGTCCAGACAAGCGGAGATTCGAATCTCAAGAAATTCAGTTTGCAGTACGACAACCATTCGGAGATAGTGTTCGTAAGTTTAGATATTCTCCAATTAGGCCTACATATAAAATAAAATTGCACCATGGTGTAGCGTCGACAGGTCGATTTTTGCTTATATAGTGGTACAGCGTGTGTCTAGCCATTGATGGGACAACGGTCCTATGCGTTGGGCAAGGTGGGCGAAATGCCAGAATACGAGCTAGGCGGTCAAATGAGGCTGGAGGATTTAACAGACGCTAAACCATCTTCCTTTTGTAGTTGCTTTCTCATTATGCTTAGGTCACATTTGCTCTACGGCTAGGATACATCGGCTGTACGCCCCCGATATCAAGAGATACTTGCGGCGGACGCAGAGAACCTCCGGTGGCCACAGGGTCACCCTAGGGCGTATCCCTATATTTACAGGCCGTACGGGTCGCCGAGGGATTGTAACGCGGAGTAATAACTGTTTTCATTTCTATATAGGTTCGCCGTAGCGATTCAACGACGACCATACGTCGGGCGTACGGTGGCCTTGCTTTTCCCGTGGGACTGCCCTAGGGTCTTACAAATTACAATTGATTTTTGCAGAACCCAACCGAATTGCGGCGGCCTCAGGAATTCCTCAGGCGCCCTAGGGCAGCCTTGAGGTAGTTGTCCTAGAGGATGGTTGTCGTTGGGGGTAGGTGTCTGAGGGTAGTTGTCATAGGGGATAGTCGTCCAGGGGGTAGTTGTTCTAGAGGGTAGTTGTCCTAGGGGGTAGTTGTCCAGGGGATAGTTGTCCCAATGGGTAGTTGTCCTAGAGGGAAGTTGTCCTAGGGGGTAGTTGTCCGGGGATAGTTATCCCAGGGGGTAGTCGTCCTGGAGGGTAGTTGCCCCAGGGGGTAGTTGTCATAGGGGGTAGTTGACTGGGGGTGGTCATCCGGGGCCGGGTGGATGTTCAGGGGGTAGCTGTCCTAGAACCAGCTGGCACCACTTGCCTAGAAATTCCGCGACTGAATCTTCATGTCAGCCCTGCTCCTGTGCTATCCCACTTACATCTTTGATCAATTTCACATAAAGTTTGGTATTGTGCTTGGCACTGTGGGCATTTAATCGGTGAATACAGTAGAGAATGATTATAGGTGCCTTACTCATATCCAAGTATTTTTTTCCAGGACATCTCTGACTGTAATCTCAGATTATGCAAGATGGCGATCGACAACCCCCTAGCGGTAACCTCAGTCACCATTAGCAATTTAGAATGGACTCCTTCTTCGTCTAACTTCTTCCGTTTTGAGCTTCTGGGGTGTATCACTGTAGGTAAGAAACAACTGCAAGAAATGATTAGAAATCGACTTCCCTTTGATATTACATGGAGGCGTGATATGGTTCAATAACCGGTAGGTCCTAGATTCGAAGCCAAATCGATCCGCTAGTGCTCTTTGGTAAGGCGGTAATCCTCGTTACCTAGTCTCTCGGAGAGGACTTACAGAAGTCGGACCCTGGTAGCTTACTAAAAAGCATACGCACGCTAGCTTAGCAGTCAGGTATAACAAACAAACAACCAATATGATTATAATTATCATTGAAGGCCTTTATTGTTCTGTTCTTATACTTTTTAATTCAACCATGGGTATCACTGGATAATTTTGAGTGGGGGCGGGGGTGGGGGGCTGGAATGCATCGCTCTAGAAACGAATTCTATATTCTTTAACAAGAATTGTTATCAATACAGTCACAAAAAGAGGTCGATTTTGTATTTTCCGAGACCCACTGAATACAATAAAGGTTTACATATAATTATGACATGATTTTGTTTTACTACGGGGAGGGGATGTCAGTCAATCATAACCGATTTACCAAACTCCATATCTTTATCCTCTATTTCGTCTCTACACAGATTGCATCACGCCTTATTGCATTGATAACTGCAACCTGACTATGCTAGGGTCCGAGGACGCTAAAGAGATCGCCGAGTCTCGGACCGCCTTGATGCCAGCAAGATCCATCTGCGAGCTCAATATTCCGAAAAGAGAGGAGATGTTCATCACTTTTATATTACTTGGATTCAATGTAAGGAGCAATTATCATTGATATCATAGAGTAGAACGTTTTTGAAACGGTTAGAGAGATGTCAGGGGTAGTGATTCGAGGGGGCGTTGGGGAGGGGGCATGGGCAGGGGGTGAGGACATCTGAGTCGTATGACGGTCCATTGGGACTTCATCCAACGGGGTTTTCAGAATGAGAAACTAGTCATATCGTTCTTGTGGGCTAATAAATTTCCCCCAAGAAAGAACTAGGTGTGAACCAATGACCTTCCCCACCCCGTCCATTTACCCTAAAGATTGCTAGACGCGCCTATGTTCAGATTAAGTACAGCATATGATTTTGATTTGTGACTGGACATCGCTTGCAATGATTTGTTATGAGGGGGCGGGATCTTCTACAAATGGTGTCTTTTGATGAAGAGTTGGTAGAAATATCCAAGTGTCTCCACTTGCCATTCGCCAGGACTTGTTTATAATCATGTACTAACCCCTGCATTGAGATATATACTTATTATGATTAAAAATTCAATCAGATAAAGGTTTCCTTTTATTGTTCACGATTTCTGTTTCGTCCAGTGTGACGAACAAAACGCAGATGATGGGGAACTCGAAATCAGGGAACCTGAAAAGCGCAACCTTTTCCCTCTTGGCTCGAGCGTCCCACCTGTCTTTGTCTCGGCTTCCCCAACTGTATTTTTCCGCATCCTGACGGGAATCAGCACGGCCCATCCAGCCGTAACAGTCGCCTATGGTTACACAGGTCCGTATGATAGACAACATCATTCTCTATATTCCTTGTTAGCCTGTACTAATATAAATAATTACGTAGACATATTATGAATATTCACCATAAAAGGTTTCAACACCTAAGACAGTGATCATGCAGCGATGATTCTCAATTGTCACATATTTTCTTTATTCTTTTGTCGTTCTATCGTTCTTCCATGGAGATCTTACAATGATGCGTGCGTGATATGTGAAGATGACATATATAGAATAGGAATGCCTTCTGTATGTTGAAGCGAGTGAAATATTATGTGTGCTTAGTTTAAGGAGTGGTTAGATGAAATAAGGAAGGACTAGCTCCGATTTGGCCGGCCAATCTGCCTGGTGGTGCTGCACAAGAAATTATCTTATATTCACATCTAACAAAGGTATTTGAGGGTTAGGTCTTCATTATCAAGCACACTCATGGTAATGTTCGAACATAATGAATAGCTATAATTAAGTAATTTCGCTTTGTGTTATTTGCTTTCAATTTTTTTTTGCATGAGAAGATAAACCTGGATGTTACGAGGACGAGGACGAGGACGAGGACGAGACAGAGTGTAAAGGCACCGGTGGCATCATTATGTCCAAAAACTACTTTAACGACTATGGTGAAGACTTGCAACATACGTGGACCATTATCACCAGACTCTGGACCAAAGTCCTCTTTACCTTCATTGAAATCGACGTCTACTCTCCCGAGGACGACTGCGGTGACGATTACGTTAACGTTTCCTACTCTGGAGAACATAAGGTGTATTGCAAGGTTCCCGGGAAGTCAGCGGTCGTAGAGTCATCGGGCAATTGGATGCAGATCGAGTTCTATTCTGACGTGCAGTACACCATAGGCCACACAGGGTTTTTGGGAGAATACCGAACAGAACTCCTCAACCCGGAATACTCACAGCCTGCGGATAACGACAGTAAGTAACGGATAGGAATGACTATCACCAAAACAGAAACGGGAAATTCGTTCTATCACAACCCTTTAAAACGCTGGTCCTTAATTCCTAGAACCCAGCTTTTAGAAAATATAATTATTACATCCGTTTTATTTTCATTATAAAAATGTTTCTTGCACAAAGCTCTATGAAATGTTTTTTGGTTTGTTATAGTGAAAGAATTTAATTTTCGATTGAGGATTTGATCCAATAGAAAGTAAAGAGTTCTTTGTAAACAATATGGAAACTATCAATGGTTCGAAACTGAGCCACGTCTTTCGGATGGTGGCGTTAAAGGTCGGTACCCAGACGTAAATAATCATAAATATCTGATTGATACAGAATGTATATACATGTCTGTAAAAACCCAATTACACACGTACAAAAATCAAAGCAAATCAAAGTAAGTCTAATCCAATCCACTCAAATCCCATCCCATCAAATCAAATCCCATCACATCAAATAAAATAAAAGCGCATTTATGACAAATGACATTTCTATTTTTCAGACTACACTTGCCAGAACGACTCGGTAATCTTCCAAGGTTCCTGTTACAGTCTGTTTCGCCTCTCTGAAGACATAACCTGGAAGGATGCTGAGGAGGAATGTTTGGCCAAACAAGCTCATCTTGTGAGCATCAGAGACATTGACGAGATGACCTTTCTTCATTTCATGATATCCACAGCCGAGGGGAATGAGACGAAAACAGAAACATACATCGGTAAATACTAATATCCCAGTCGCGTCGACGATACCGACAACAAATCGATACATACCAAATTAACAGCTACATTTCAGTTCTGAAAGGGCAGTCGCAAATTCAGCTTATTTATAAAAAAAAATAATATGATATTCGTGTTTTACGTAGGACATGTTATTCAAGGCAAAAAAGCAACCTGTACCAATCAATGCCTGGAGTTCTTATAAGAGATGCTCTACCAACATTCATCAAAATATCGTTTCCATATCTTCCAGGTCTTGGGAACAGACAGAAATATGGCGTCTTTAGATGGACAGATGGGACTCCAATGTCATATACAGCTTGGGCAAAACAGTCAGAGTATGTTATGTTTTTCAATATTTCTTTAATACTGCAGTTTTCTGTTTTACCCCTTTATTTATTTCAATCTCAGTTTTCTTATTTATTTAGCTGTTATACCGGATGTCAAAATGGTATATCTTTAATCATGAGGGGTAGAAACATAATATATCTAACGTTTATACGGTAAAGATACGTCTCCCCCATGACGGCATAAACCTCTAGTAGAATTTCGGTAAAGTGATATCAAAAGCTGATACCTGTATTTTAAAGAGGTATATCAACATGGAAATAGAAGATGATTTGTTCCTCTCATTTAAACAATTTTTTTATTTTTATTGAGAACAACATTTTTATGTCTCTTTTGGAAAACTCTCAAATTGCGATGTAAAAGAGCATACGATGATCTGACATTTCAAGATTATTAAGTAAAAGAAGTAGTTTGTAGTGTTTATCGTATAAGCCCCGGGATAAGGCCTAAAAATAATGTTGTATTGCCCTTTGTGACCGACCCAAACATCTTGAAATCTACGGTCGGCTTTTAATTTGTTTAAACCGTTTTTTGGAGAAAAAAAATGTATTAAGGCATTAAAAACTGAGAAATATCAGCCCAAAGAGGGAGTTAAGAAGAAAAAAAAAGATTTCCGACCGACCGACTCATGTTTTGGCACCTAAAGGGCAATACAACATCTCTTTTTAGGCCGGCCTAAAAATCACTCCTAGTCACAGAGATAGGTCAACGTATTCAGTTTGACAATTATTATTTTTACAGTGTTGATACAACGGATCCAACAGACAGTCAACCTGATGGGGCTTCTCTTGAAGCTTGCGTCATGCTGGTTCTCAACCCGGACTCTCTCGTTGCCCTAAACTTCGACCTTTGGCACGACGTTGCCTGTGCGGCCAAGGAGACCAGTCAGTTCATATGTGAACGGCCCGCGGATAGAATAAACGGTAACGGCCATGATAGACTGAATTGTAATCTTGGACAGACGTCACAGACGTCCCCACCCCAATTCAGGGACATCAATAGAATAGGGATGGGGAAGGGCAGATGAGGAGGGGGTGGCCCAGTCTGACCCAGTCAGACAGAATAGAACTCGAGGTAATGAAAGGAAATATACGAGACTAGAAGGATGTTCTAGGAAAGCCGCCCAGTTAGGTGCTTTGCTAGAATGAGGAAGGGGTCGGAGGGAAAGACATCACCTTCCTAGAAATTTGTACCGGGTCATATTCTGAATTTGTTCAGGGTTTGATGGTAAATCACAGAAATCCTGGACATGAACAATAAATGGCTTTTTAGATTTGTTGTTAATCTCCGTTTGGCAAAATTGAAAATCGGAATATCGGTTTCTAACCCTGTCGGCATATTGAAAATGATGAGCTTCTGTTTACGTTTGTTTTTAAATGCTGTCAACATAAAAGCGTTTCTGATTTTTCGTTAGTTCTATAATGAATAAAACGTGAATGGGCTATTAGTTAGTTTTAATGATTTGAATAAATAACTGTAATTACTATATAGTAATGGGTTGTTCTATTAATCATTAAATATTGTCACAGATACAGGTTCACTCGTCGATGTGCAACTTCCAGTCTACATGCCAGGTATGAACATTTTTTATTTAATTACATGAATAGAATTGAATCAACAGATGCGAACTTTAAAAAAGCTAATTGAGACCTAGAGGAGGTGTTCATTGTAAAACTTTTAGTTTGGTCTTCTTTTCGTGATAATGAATTTGATTTTCATAATAAACTTAACGAAGATTTAACGGGTGTTCATCCTTATAACTATGTAGTTGCCGATTTAGGCGTACTCGACACAAGTTCCTTCCTTTACGAGATTCTGAGCCCGCACTTATTTGAATACCACTTAAAATTTGCTAGAAAAAACAACCAAAATGGTTTATAGAATATGAGCATTTTGTATTTTGTTTGGCATTGCAGACGTTGATGATGACGGACGTAGACTTGCCGTATTCCATTGTTCCTCGGGGGAGTTTATAAATGAAGTTTTCTTCTGTGACGGCAAAGATGATTGCATAGATCGGAGTGATGAGAAAAATTGTCCTAATGGTAAGATTTATCATTTTTGTTTGTTTTGGGGCTTATACGCTTTATATACATCATATTGATGGGGGACAAAGGTGAATATAATTTGTCTTCCTATGTTTTCCTGATATATCGTTGTTACATAGATCAAAATTAGACGACAAATACAATTTTAATTCTCGTTTCATTTTAGTTTTAAAATTATCTCATTTTTGTAAAATAGTCATTATGAGAATAGACCAAAGGCAATTATCCATTGCATTTTGGTCTGTTATACAAATAAACATTTCTCCCTTTTGGGGCATGTTTTGAAATGATCAAGGAATTGTCACATTGATTTTCAAGTATGTAGAAAAATAGATCATAGATGTTTTGTAGATATTTCTTTTTTTGTTGTTGATGATTCTTGTGATCTAAAGATCTGTCTACTACCTTTATTATTCCGATTTTAAACATACGGTTTTAATTGATCTAATGACTTTGCAAGTGTTGCACTCCACACTTTACACTTATTCCCCCTAAAGATGTCCTTTCACTCTCCCGTTAATTGTAAACATAGCTACAACTACGTTTTCGCAATCATAATGATATTGATTTTAAATATGTTTTCAAATTACAGATAACAAATGCTTGGCCAATCAGTTCCAGTGTACAGACGGTGCCTGTATTGCGTTAGCATTCTTTTGTGATACCGTTTCACACTGCCTTGACAACTCGGATGAAACGGCCTGCAGTAAGTTTGAAAAGTTTGAAAACCCATGTAATAATAATAATAATAATAATAGGCCCTCTCAAAGCGCTTTACAGATATACATTATTACCCCGGTCATCGGATTCAGGCTTACCTGCACACAATGTGTGCACATTCCCCACTCCCTGGGGAGCATTCCAGCCAGGCGTCATTTTTACAAGCGTACTTGCTAATCTAAGCACATTAGCTTTCGCATCCTACCCATTTAACACCTGGGTGGAGAGTGGTAAATGTAGATCAATGTCTTGCCAAAGGACTTTATGACTGATTGATTGATTGATTCAAACTTATTCCATTTCATATATCAATTGTTTGCACAATAAGGAACATAGTTGAAAAGGTGAGTTCAACATTATGAAATAAAACAGGAACCTACTGGAAAGCATAGCTTATTTTTGTAGGTTCCCAAGAATATTAAATATCAAACATCAAAATTTGAAATCATGATTATGTTAATATACGTGAATACCAATAGATTTAGTTACCCTTGGATGGATGGCACGAATTGACTCATCTGGATGTTTGGTTTGGTTCGTTCCATATAGAGTACCCGGAATGCGAGGACTACGAGTACACTTGTGAAAGCCAGCAATGCATTAACGCCAAGGAGAGATGTGACTTCGTCGAAAACTGTTTCGATGGTACAGATGAGAAAGATTGTGGTGAGTAACCATCGAAACAAACACTCCTCTTGAAAGAGGTCCCATCGTTCCAACAATCGTGTTAACGTTCATATGAATTCAGAAAGAGATTCGTTAAAGTAATTTGCATGCTACTTTAGTTGCAAATGATCATTACATTTTTATAATTTTTTTCTTCATTTCTTTAAGATTTTTCAAAGGTACAACGAATGTTGTAGAACTATAAATTGATATGCGTTATTTATTTTGGGAAGAGGCTTTTCTTAAATGTGATACAGATAGTGGTGGTTATTTTACCTGACAGCTAAAAAAGCAATAAATGCTTGTTAGTAAGCAACCAGAAGACCGACGGCTTAAGGTCCTCTCCGAAGGACCTGGTAATGAGGATTAGTGCCTTACCAAATTAAGGGCACTAGCGCATCGACTTGGTTTCGAACCCGGGTCACCGGATAACGAGACCACTGCTCTACCGACTGAGCTATCGCGCCTCCTCTATATCAGCAGCGGAGCACCATGACACCATAGCATGATAGATAAAAGTACAATATAAACAAGAAGCCATGTTTGTAATAAATATATCATGATCCTTTTTGTTTCTTCAATTCATTTAATTTATATCTAATTTTTATCTATTTATATATATATTTGTTTAATAATTTTTATATAACAAATGTCCATTAACTATTTATCGACATTTCTTGTTCTTCAAAGCAGAAAAGAATGACTACAATGTAGAAGTCTTCCAGTGCTATGATGGAACACTGCTACCGGGCGAGGTCCATTGCGACGGGATGATCGATTGCATAGGAAATACACACGAAGATGAGAACAACTGTCGTAAGTACCTGGGGAGTGTTTCACAAAGATTAAGAACGACTTAAAGTTGGACTAAACTTTGGCAGGCCGTCCATGCCTCTAGTTCCTCTAACCATTCCTGCCATTGGTCTTTCAAGGGACTTACAAATCATGGTGACAAATTTACAGAATCTACATTTGTTGATAACTCGTTATTGAAGGAATATCTAAAGATCAACCAGTGGCATGAATGGCCTGCCATAGTTAAGTCCAACTTAGAGTTGATCTTAGTGTTTGTAAAACACCCCCCCCCCCGGAACTGACCTAACTTTTGAATGTTTCACATGGGGCGTCGTTTTACTTGCGTCGCTCTGAAAAGGCACATTTTTACCAAAGGGGAAGGGGCTCTTGTAAATTGCCAAAATGTCTACGTTCCACTTGTTAAAATCGACTATTATGTAGGAGTTGCACGAATATCAATGATTCTAAATCCAGGGAACCCCTCTATCAACCACTGCCCATCAAATCTAATCAAAATAAATTCAGTCACAATGAGTCAAATTCATTTTAAAGCCGATCAAAACTCATTAACTATAATTATTTTTACTTTCTTTGCCACCAGCAAACCAGGAGATATTACATCAGCGGGAATTCTACTGCCCCAATGGCGAATTGGAGGTTGTACCATCCAAATGCATGTATGACTTCAACGTCTTCGGCTTGATCAAAGGGTGTCGTAATGTCAAGCATTTGGAGGATTGCAGGAACAGTGAGTGATGTTGTTGTTGTTGTTGGTAATAGTTTGCTGGCGTTCATTCAGTATTGAATATATACGCCATATCTTCAGTTTTATAAGAAAATCAGTTATACATAAGAAAACTGATAACAAAGATTTGTAATAACATAATTAATTAGTCAGTGAGTGAGATATACGCACCCCTAATATAGCCTATTTAATATCAATAGTTACATAATTGCACGATGGAAAAATTTATTACGATTTACATTTTTGTGGTAATTGGGTATAATATCTTACACATTGATGATGTCTCTTTTTTCGATTCTTGCTTACGCACGGATGTGACTAATCGATTTCATTATTGTAGTAGAAGTTTCATTCATCTACAACGGTAAAGTCAAACTCTGTCCCATCACTCACTCTCTGTCTATGGTTTTGCCTCACTGTATCTCTCTCTCTCTCTCTCTCTCCCCCCTCGCTCTGAGACTATTATATTGTTCTATTCTTCTCTCTGACTCTCGATCGCTCTGTCTCCTCTGTGTACATCTGTCCGTATTTCTCTTCCAGTTTCCCTTTCCTTTGTCTTCCACATTGCCCCCTCCCCTGCTGCAGTAATACCTTTTGGATATTGAATTATTTGTTGTTATTTTGTTGTACATTACGCCTTCAACATCTCTCTCTCTCTCTCTCTCTCTCTCTCTCCTTTACGTTTCTCAACAGAAAATGACACATGCCCTGAGAGCACGATGAGATGTCCTAATTCCTACTGCATCCCACTACGATACCGATGTGACCAAAAGAAAGACTGTCCATATGGCGAAGACGAGAATGAATGTGGTGAGCAGCTTTGTTTGTGTTTTGTTTCTGCTACATATTCATACTCGTGTGTTATCATTCTTTTCCTTGCGGACGGGGGTGAACCCTTTTCCCTCCAGGATTCTAGGCTCCCTCGAATGTGACGTCCTCCGCACCCCCCCCCCCCCTCCCCGACCTCAATATGGCAAGAATTATACCGCCCCTGTAGCGCCGTACATCATTGTCACCCAAAGTATTGTGTTTCTTTTACCTCCTTGTCCCCTTTTCTATCTTCTCTCTCTCTCTTTTATTCTTCTTACTGTTTCTCCTTTATTATTTCCCATCATTTTCTGAATTTCTTCTTTGTGAGAATTGTGAGAACACAGGCTTATTATTCACCAGTAAAATGTTGTGTATAATTATGTCAGTTGTGATTTGTATTATGTTCACACAAACTTTTGCCATTTTGTTTAGTCTTTCGGAAAGATGGCTCAACAGAACAAGATTAGGGATAGTTGTTGGATAAATTTTCCTTACGAATTTATATCTTGGCAACATCATACAAGTATTTCGTCTTGAGACTAAAAAGTTATAACAACACAATCATAGGGACTTCAGAGAAAGCAATTTAACATGCTTCCGGCAATTTGCAATATATAGCCTTGTCCATTACCTTCAGAAATGCGTGACATCGCTATGTGATCAAAATCCATGGAATACACACAACTTTATCGAAATTGAGCCCTGTGGTGATTTTTTCGAAAGTAATTCAAAAAATGTATTGAATATCTCCATTCATCATTTCAAGAACATGCTCAAAACACTGACACATCTTGGTTTCACCTTCATTATGAAAGCCAGCGTTTGTATGTCATCAATTTCAATGTTAATGAGAATGCTCACTAGACTGTCCAAATTTTATCCGACGTTATTGTGTTTTAAACTGATCATAATAATGTAATGAACAATTTTTTCCCACCACAAAGAGTCTTTTACCTGTCCAGAAGGCTCCTTTCGTTGCAATAGCAAACAAGGCAGTAAAGGCCTCTGTATAAGCCCTCAACACGTGTGCGATGGCGTCATTCACTGTCCGGATATGGACGACGAACTATTGTGCTGTGAGTAATCCTTCCCAATTAATCTCAGTTTTGAATTTAATTTAATCTGAATTATGAATTTAATTTAATTACTTTAATAGTCTTAATTATGAATCGAATTTTAGTCTGCATCTTGAACTATCGTATTTTTTGTTACCTATGCTCAAGTCTAATGTACTATTCTGTATCCATTTGTATCTTATTGATGTTTGTAATCCGTAATATTGTACTGACATACAAACGAAACAAATTTCCAATCATTGGACAATAAAATTTGAATTTGAATTTGAATTTGAATAAAAATTAAGACACTCTCACACCCATATCATGTAAATACTAAATGCCACAACATATGTTATTACTGTGATAACTTAAAACATCCAACATTTTCAATCAAGCTGGGCTCAAGTATATATATGAGCATGAATATATTAAATAAAACAGCTTGTGTTTGTGAGGTCAGATGTTAAAGGTCACAGGCTTATTGATCAGTGAATATAAATAAAGACGATGGTATCTTAGAGAGGCAGTCGCATTCATTTTGCCTTACAGTGTTGTAGACTCAGTATAGCGGTGATAAATATAATATATAGGCCTATATATATAAATATATCATACATACAGAAGAAAATTATTATTAAGTTCTGCTCGGAGTTCGAGAAATATACACAACATCACAAGATATAAAGATCATCCTTACAAGAAGAAATGGTTACCCAATACATGTATATAAAATAATTCATGTATACATGTTGTAATAACAGGACATCTATATATAACCCCAAATGGTATATTAACCGGACATCATGAAAACTGGTATATTACCGAAGCCTAACCCTAAACATAACCCCAACCTTATTCCTAATCTTAAATTCAAAACAATAATACTAAATTATTAAACTAATGACTAATGATTAAATCTATTGTTTCTTGGGAGGCCTTTAAGTTTCCTCTGCCTGCAAATGTACGTAGAGGGCAGTACTTCTTTTGTTCAATCATTAACAGGACACAAAAATGTCCTGCTAATGCCCATGTCTACTTAATAACTCATTTTTTTTCACTACATAATAGCTGTAAAGTGTATATAGGTATATTTTTGGTTGTGAAAAGCCTGATAGTATATTATATTGTTATCAGCCAATCGAAATTAGAGATAGATGTATTAAAGCTTATTCGTCCTTCTGGTTGTTTGTCCTCTTTTTTCCACCTCCCTCACGTCTCCCGGTTCCTGTCCCCTCTTTTCAATACCTTTTAACAATATCTCCAATGCCTCTTTTAATAAATACTAACGGCCCCTTCTTTCCTTCTCTCTCTTTCTCTCTAGCTGCATGCCCAGAAGGATGTGCTTGCAACGATCTCTCCTACGCATGCAATTTGACTGTTGATGTCAGTCTTCCGTTACCCAGACAACTTAGAAAATTGTATGCCGAATCTATTAAAATAAAATCAACTTAAAACAAAAAAAATTATTTTCAATATCTGGCCAAACCATTCTTGATGATGATGGTTCTATTTCAAGGGAATGAGAATTTTCGGTTGAATTAGCATTTTTAATTCATTTTTTTTCCTGAATCACCACTAACATTTGTAAATATTATTAGTATTTAATAATGGGAATGGATTTGAAACGTCAAGATATGACATGTGGGCTTAAGCCAAATTATAAACTCAATATCATTTTGAAAGGTTACCAAGCGGACTTTGTAAGGAGCACCATGAAAAGAGAAATCGCTCAAAAGTCAGTCGGGCGAGACACCTCAATAATCAAATAAAGTGGTTTTTCATAGCTACAATTCCATTGATAATCACATAAATGGATACATATTATCAACTAAATGAGAGATTCAGTCTGAAAAGGGAATTGTTATACGACGTGTAGTTTCTAAAACTTCTAAACTATAGTATATAATTCACTTCATTTATACAAGCTGAAGTGTTTTCTGTATACCCGCACACATCGGACTTAATACCTTTCTAATTGATATGCTTCTCACGCAATTACAATTAGGTCTTTGATGTTAATCAATGATACGACAGGAAATAACACCAGGGTACTCAGACCAATCGACGATGACCCGGAAGTAAATGCTTTTATTCCGTCCATGTGGCCATATTTGATCTACTTGTAAGTACACAAATTCAAATTTCAAATTTCAAATTTATTCATGTTTCCAACAAAACATTACAAGTGGAATTTAAGCATTTAAAACACATGTAAGAAATACATGTTGGAAACAGAGGGGTCCACTAAAAAGCAATGCTTGTAGGCCTACAAGTGTGAACACCTCAAATGATACTTAGGAATAATGATTAATTAGATTAAGTAATCTGTAACTACAGAAGGAACTACAAAATAAGGTGTTCAAACTGTAATGAGTTTAGTAATAATTTCAGATACACACCTGACAATTAGACCTGTTTGTGCAAACAGTCAAAAGCGAAAATGTCGCATTACGTATAGCAAAATGACGTTTGGAGCATCGTTAATCATTTCATGAAGGACCATGCAAGCTGCTTTATCTTTAAATTGTTAGGTCTTGTTTTAAGTACCTCTCTTAAAAGTAGGTAATTAATTTGTAGGTGATTAGTCAATATCGATCATTTCGCTACTAGATATTTTATTTTGCTAATTCATACAGGGATATAAGTCATTCGGAAATTTCAGAGGTAAAACCGGGGGCCTTTGATAAGAACAGGAATGTGCGGCATCTGTAAGTACGGTTTCCACATTTTATTTCAAATACTTAGTTAATAGGTTAGTTTTGTTAATAAAAAAATATTTTAAACACGATACGATAAGATAAGCCACTGTCATAATTCATTTATATTTGCTATGTAATTCCGCCTGAAAAGAAGTACAATTGTATACTAATTTACTATTTAAAATCATAAAAAAGAACACTGACCGAATATACAAGAAAGTTCAATAAAACCATTAAAATCTATTCTAATTATGTCTTTATATTTGAATTTTCAAAGGAATATCTAATCCTGTTTAAAACTGTCAAATAATTGCTCGTAAAACCTAAAATGTTAACCATCTGTAACCAAAAGAAACTATAATCTCAAAAGTTGGCCTCGGGTTACGCTTAAACATTCATCCAAAGTGTTTGCAAAATCTGATGTGCTTTTTATATCCATGGTCATGATGATTTATACACAATATCTTCATATTTTTGCCTCATTTTTACCCCCTAAAGTTGAGAAGTAAATATAGTTATCTGAAAAATATCATTCCAAAAGGATCTAAGTCTATTTTGGGGTGTTTTCGAATAAATCAGTTTTCAAAAACTATTAACACTACCCCTTCTGCAGTATACATGATTTCGGTATTCTATTTGATCTCGCAGCCATCTTCATGAGAACAAACTTGGTGAACTCCAAGAAGGATCTTTCAGAGGCCTTGAGCAACTTCGTTTCATGTAAGTTTATGGGATAGATATCCCCATCACTGGCTACAATACAGGAGCAAGTCAGCCGCCTCCTAAAATTGGGTCTAGACCCAAGTCCTTATCCTCACGACACTCCCCAGCGATACTAAAAAATAAAATATTAAAATATTTATTTATAGTTAAAATTAGATTCAAGTGGTACCTCGTTCGTTTGTTCTAAAGCAATTATAGGGGCCATTTGGGAGGGGGCGGGCCCTAAGCAGCAGAAAATTGTTTGGCATGGGCCATACAGTGCTTTGTGGCATCCATGCAATAAGTTACAATTGGTTTCAAGTAGTACCTCGTTCGTTTGTTCTAACGCAATTTTAGGGGCCCTTTTTAACCGGCCACTTGCAGCAAAGGGGTCCCGGTAGACATCTCTATTTGGATATACTAGGTTCCTTCCCGAATGTTCCAATACGCAGATATTGGTAATTCTTTCGTTTGATAAAAGTGCATTGACCTGCTAGCTTACTTCCTGCCAATGACTTTTTCAGACAACCAATCATACAACCCTTGCTTTCTAAGTAAAATACGTGTTCGGTTTGAAATATTTTGTTTTCATAAAATTTTCATAAAATCTTCATAAAAGTTCCAAATTTACATTTAATATACATGTAACTACATTTGTCCCGACAATCCGTTGCGAAGCCTTGCGGACTCTGCTTGAAAATACTGACCTAGCCTATCACTTAACACCGTTTATTCTCCTAACAGGAACTTGTCTGGGAACAACCTACGTACAATTAACCCTGGAACGTTCAGAAACCTCAGTAAATTGCAAGAGCTGTGAGTTTCCATTCCTGTTTAATTTCATTTTTGTTAACTTATTATTAAATAAGATAAGATTTTTTTCTTTTAATTTTTCGAAAAACTCTGATACCATGCTTTTGAAGCATAATGATAATGAATATATATATTTATAACCGTGTGAAGTTTCACATTTTTAAAGATAGCAGTGAAGATTGAAGGACATGGTATGTTTCTTCATTAAACATTTTTTGAAAAAAATGTTAACTGTTTCATTTAGCTTTTGCTCCTGAACAGGTTTACTAGTTGTCCGCCTAAAGTTATTCTTTTTTACTTTAAATTCTATTTCATTTTCATCATGTGTTAGTATTCTCCCTGATCATACATATTTTGATCAGTTTAGCCTGTGATTGAAATCTGATATTTATCAAAGTTATTTGTCATCTTTGTTTTCAGGGACATTCGCGGTAATAATGATATTGCCTACGCGGAAGAAAGTCAACGTACTATCTTTGTTGGTCTTGAAAATTTTAAACTGTGAGTATAATATCAAAAATATATTTTTCTTCCAAAACTGGATAATATTATCAATTTTAGTAATTTTAGAACATTGCCCGATATAACCCCAAGGTGATTTGTCACAAGTATACGAGTGATATTCAATGAACGGCAGATAGCAGTATGGGTGGTTTGGACTTTCAAACCCAACAAGGTATGTCCCAACAAATCAATATGTTCTTACAGCTTGTATGAGCTTCGACAACCAGATCTGGTCGAATACCTCTTGTCAACTTCTCCAGACGTGTACCCCTGAACACTACCTTACCCATTTAGAACAATTGCCACTAGATCATCGTCCATGTCTATGTTCAGACATTGAGTAGTATATCAACTGACTTGGGTGCTGGTGTGCCCTTTTGTGTGGGAGATGATCATGCAGGAATGATTATATGGGAGTAATTCCTGCATTGTTCTTGCGGTTTATCTTCATATGGGGCAATGGAGGTCGGACGAAATGACCAGGGGTAGTATAACTAAAATCCCAAATGTCCATATACTTTGCTTTTAAATTCAAAGTTTGAAAACCAGCTCAATGTTTCTCTTGAAACTGTAGGTACGCTGACAAGTACCTATTCTGCTGTATGGCGAAACTCGAGGACACCAACTGCGTTGCTCCTCGGGATCAGTTTTCATCCTGCACAGACCTCATGGAGAATGTCATTTTACGGGCATTGATCTGGATCTTAGGTTTCAGTGCGTTCGTCGGTAACGTCTTTGTCATAGGGTACCGACTGACCGACGCGAAGAAGGGACGTAAAAAGAACAATGTCCAAGCCAGTTTGATCACCAACCTGGCCATATCTGATTTCCTGATGGGACTTTACATGCTGACCATAGCAAGTGCTGATACCAAGTTCCGCGGAACGTACATCTACCAGGCGGATTACTGGACGTCCAGCATCCTTTGCCAAATGACAGGAATGGTGTCTGTCATCTCGAGCGAGGCATCCGTCTTCCTGGTGATGATGATCAGCCTGGATCGTTGCTTCCATGTGGTGGCGCCCTTCAAAAGAGGTCTTCACATGTCCCATCGATCCAGCCACATCATCGAGACCGCCATCTGGGCTTTGTCTTTCATGCTGGGTCTGCTCCCGATCTTGACCCCGTCGTACTTCAAAGACGACTTTTACGGCGCGTCGGGTGTCTGTTTGGCCCTTCCTCTGACGACCGACCGTCCTGCAGGATGGCATTACTCTATCGCCATCTTCATCGGCGTTAACTTGGTTTGCTTCGTGGTCACCTTCCTGTGCTATGTGGCCATCTTCATGACCGTGAAGACATCACAGCGTCAGGTTGCCAAAGGTAGCGCCGCAGTGGGCCGAGAGGACAGGAGACTCAAGGAAGAGATCAAGCTGGCCACCAAGATGGCTCTGATTGTAGGCACTGATCTTGTCTGCTGGATGCCTATCATTATAATGGGTTTACTCTCAGCTGGTGGCACGTCTCTCCCCGCTCAGGTGTGTTTCTTTTGAAGTCAAGAACTCATTATCGTCTTCCTTTTCATATTCTTTATTATTTCTGTATCTTTTTTTTTACGATGTTAACAAAACTGTAACACCGTGCACTATTCTGCAATCGCATTGTTCGTAGCTCTCTTAGTTTATTTCCACAATATCTGAATAAACTTTTACTGAATTATTGAATTACCAGGAAAAGTAGTGTGTGGAAAGTCTATTTACGTTCTTTATTGGTCGAGATAGTTTTCGATCGTGAAGAAAATGTCTTTGCCGTCTAAGGTTACCGGTACTTAAATCACAATCCTTCATAAAAAGTAAAGTCAGATTAATATATTTCGTGTACAAATTCTGTTTTTCAATTATATTTATTTTCCTCATTGTGATTATTAACCCCAAAATACCACGCAGAAATCAATCTATAAAGCCTTTTATTTCATGTCCTCATTTTCCAGGTGTATGCATGGACTGCAGTGATCATCCTACCGATCAATTCATCTCTCAACCCCTACCTCTACACCATCTCAACCGTTCACTCTCAGCATCTCAACAAACTCAGACTCAAACAGGAGGCTGCTGAAACCAAAACAAGAGGTATATAAACCAGTCTTGGTCTTTCAATTCACCTGGCCTTATCTCCTGGAAAATTTCATCTCCTTGTACCCTGCTTCCATTTTGGGGGTTTCATTTTTTTTTTTTTTTTTTACTTCAGTGTCGTAATGTTCTAATTTGAGTTTTGTGCATTAATGATACATTGTCTGTTACCATGGTTACTATAAATTACTGATGTTGGTTCCCATTCATATTTTCCCAATTTCCAGGGTCCTGTAACTTAAAAGTAAACTTACAATCAATAATAAAATCTGTTGTATTTCCTAACTTGATGTGATGAATCATATATATAATATTCGTAACATGAAATTAATCGCAAGGTACTATTAAATGTGTATCTAGGATTGATTGACAGATATACTATTAAGTTTGGTAATTTATTTTTTTATTTTTAAAAGATTACACAAGAAAAAATTATATAACAGGTCCCAGTCGTGGTTATGATACCCTTTTGCTGAAATCAAAGACTTTATCACCCAGGGTTGATGGGGGTTTGAAACCGTCACTTGATCTGTCGTTGTTTTGTATATGACAATTGTTATTTCAGGTCCGTGTTAGCAAAATTTCCCAATTTGTTTGTGGTTTAGAAAATATCCGTTACTTTATTGGCAAATTTTATCCAACTCTTCCTCACTAAATACCAACGCCCCTAACGCCATCCTTGATTTAATGTCTCTCATGGTTGAATATTTCAGAGAGTATTAACTTCGAGCTCACGACGACACTCATTACCCCCTTCACGTCACTGCCCAGCCCCCTCCCTCAACGCATGCGCAACTGGCTAAGACGCTTCTCACGTGACCTGACCAACGACGAGCTCCAAATCATTGAGCGTGACGTCATCGAGGCAGTGTCGTCCATGAGGTCGGAAGGGGTCAAAGTTGACGAATTTCTGCACGTGGATAACTTGGCAATTCAAACGGTAACTTGTTTAGAGTAACGCCCGTTAACAACCCCCCCCCCCCCCCCAATCTTAGTCGATCAAAGTGGATGAGAATTTTTTTCTCGATATTTTTATAGTTTCTCACCTAGGGCCTAAATCCTTAACTTAACCTAAAAGAAAATCTAATTTCAACTTACCTTTTTTCTTTGACAAAACATACCCAGAGCATTTGTTGTTTCAACCCATATGCACTGTAAAAAAGAATTTGTTCATTGGTAATTTTTACGTATTTTTTCCATGTAGAATTTACTTGAAAACATTAGTTTTGCCACTTACGCACTAAATTTAAGTCTTGCTAACTCAAACTTTCAATTTAGTAGAACATACGTGGAATATTTAAGTAAAATCAAATACATAAGAACTTTAAGTAATTTCAGCTTGTATTAATTTAGTAATTTTAGCTTAAAATCAGAAATTATACGTATTACTCAAACAATTTATGTTGATTATTCTTATCTTTTTAAAGTAAGGACCGATGCAGTGCGTAATAGAAATATTTACATAATTTATGAATATTCATTAAGACCAAATTAAACTCTTTTTTAAATAAAACAATTTTTTTTGTGGTTGAATGAAAATTTAAGGACTTTAAAACATTTACTAATTCATTTAACATGGCTAAGCAAAGACAAGACAATTTTTAATTGTTACCCAGTTCAAAACAAATCAGAACTTGATATTTCAGGAAATTGTCAACCAATTTTCCTTTTAAGATGCTACGATCAAGTATATATAAAATTTGGAGCCTTTCAATATGTGTCGAATTGAAGCGTGTGTTAGTGATTAGTGATTAATCTTAATTAGAAGTAGAGAATGATTAGTGGATATTACTTGTTAGATTAGGTGGGTACCAAATCGTGCAATATGTAATCCTATTATAGATTTTTTTTAATTATCTAAAATGATTACAATACTTAAATTATTTACGTTAATGTAACTCGATTTAACTGAGTAAAAATTTATTCAGCTAAATAAGTAAACTCTCTTAAGATGCCGTAGGTAATATTTACTTAATAAAAATAAGGCAATTCTTTTCCTCAATTTTATTGAGTTATTTCGACTATTATTTTTTTTACAGTGTGCCTCTCATAATCTCGTTTGCATACAAATAGCCTTCCTAGCTCTTTTATCATTCACTTTTGACCCCTCTTTTCACTTTGCTTACTTCTACATAGAACAATGCAGGGAAAATCTCTCAGGCTTTTATCGTGCTCGACGTCCCTCTTCCCCTCGCCAACGGGAAGAGTAAGGTGATCGACGATGACGAGAAGCCCGAAAACGACAGTCCAATGACCAGGAACCTAGTAAAACTCCAGACCATTTTCACCCGAGTCGCCATGCGTAAAACCACAAATAAACTTAATTAGCAAGAGAAACGGGTGTTTAATATTGTTGGTGTAGGTGTGACGAGCTATTGAGTGAACGAGCTATGGAGTGAACAAGGCCATCGACTAAAAAGAAATGTTGGAGCTAGGGGGTCGAAACATCTTCTCCATTTTCTTTGCATGTTGTTTCCTTTCCATTCTCCCTTATTTTACTCTCCCCCTCTCTCTCTCTTCCTTTCTTTCTCTATCTCTCCCCTCTCTCTCTCTCTCTCTCTCTCTCTCTCTCTGTGTCACTCACTCTTTCATTCTCTTGTTTTTCTTCTCTTTACCCTTTTCCATATGTTTCTTTTTGCCCTATCATTGCCCCTCAACTACACTAACGTATTTGTAAATGGCTGGATGAGTATATAAATTTTCTTGCCCTCATCACTAGCACTTTGAATAGGAGAGAACCTTTGCTTGTTGGGAGGTTTAAAAGCCATTTGTTTCAAAATCTGTCTTTTTCCCATCCTGAGTTTTTTAGTGGTGCCCCTTTTTTTGGCGTTCCGATGCCCCTCTATATATGGCTAAATTAGACGAATCAATGAATATGTAAATAAATTCATCATTGACTAATGACAAACAATATATAAACATAATATTGTATATTTCCTGACTATGAATATGACTCTCATAAAATCTATGCATTTAATTTCCACCAAAATTTAATCACGCGATGCCTTGATTGCTTCGCAAAGCATTTAAACTTGTTCAGATTTCATGTAAATATTGTTTTCTTTTGAAATTTTATTGTGCAATGCGATAGCCTATATAACTATGAATACAGTCATTACTTGTCAAGGTGGACTTCTGCTCTTCATCTCAAATACCCTCTACTTTTATTTTTTGTTCCTTTCTTTCGCTATCCCCGTCTTTCCTCTTTACTTCCCACCCAGAATGTTCTTGCCTATCGAAAGAATGTCACCCCCCTCTCTCTCTCTATCACTGACTCTAGACTACCGCCCTCGGTCATCAATCACGTCACTTGTATGATAAAATGACGCTTACATTTCCTTTATCTCAATTTAATTAATATTTCTGAAATATTAATTATCTAATATAGATGTATATATTATCTCATTGAACTATGTATCATAATTATATGTATGTTATGTCCTGCTTTGGCAAATCCATTGTATTTTGTATTTGTATTTGCATTTATTAACATTTATTTCCTTCTCAACAGTACAATATGAAACACAATGTATATACATGATATATGTAACAATTATTTCAACATAGAGTATACAGTAAATAATTCAAATACGGAAGGAGGCGAAAACCCGGAAAGCATAGCTTGAGTTAGTAACGCCCACAATAAGTTAACACAGTTACCGAGAGAACATTATAGATATTATTATGAAAATTACATTTTATATTACAGAACGTTGATAGGAAAGAAAAAATAGTAAATGGAAGAGGGGAAAAAAAATGAGGAGAGAATTAAGTATAGGAAGGCATGTTCACTTATATTTATAAAGAGAAAGTTAACTCAATTTGGCTGTGCATGTGTCTGCGATTACATCATAAAAATAACGAAATACAACAATTTTTAAATAGACAGCGGGTACATATCATTAAAAACAAGCAATGTATGCTGTATTGTGATATATATAATTTATCTTTGTATTAGTATGATCTATTTATAACATAGTCTATTTTAATTATGAAATAATATCACATATAACGTTGTACAGTGAAAATGATTATAATATAAATTATATGCAGAATAGACGAAAAGGTAGGAAATAGAAGGATCTGATACCAAATGCATACTCCGTTCTTTAAAATTAAAAAGATAGACTTATCATTTTTATTTGCTTCTATAAAAAATGGGAGCAAATTGTAAAAGAATAACTCGTGTTTGTTTAGTCAAAGTTTTCTTCTGTAATGAAACTTTGAATAGTTTTTGTAGCAGAACTTTTCAGTGACCGTGTTAGATTGCGTGCATATACATGGTGTATGTCATAAATTTACCAGCCTTTGGAACTTGTGAAAATGTTGAATCTATCGATATTCTTTTTGTATATCATTTTGTACTAATTGATATACCTTCTCTGTCTTAATTATAAATTATTACGGGAAGATAGTATTTTTCAAGATCATTTTTATTAGTTATCATTCTTTATTTCTTTATTTATCTATTATTATACATTATCTTCTTTCCTTTTTTGAGGGAGGGGGGGGGGGGTGGGGGCGGTGTACACGTAGTTACTCCAAGCCAGTTATAAATATCTTTTGAAGATACCGTAAGACCTAATGAAAATTCATCGAAAAATTATTTACTTGTCGGTTTTGACCCCCATTTTTCTGTGTAAAATGTTGTTATTGAACTGCAATGCTAAAATGTTGCTTGTGCCGATTACGTTAATAATCCTGGTACACATGAGATTTCTTGAAAATGCTGGCATTGAAGAGAAAAACATTTGTGAAATCAGATTCTACCCTCATAATTATATATATAATGATATGAATAGAACATTAATGAAAACTACCTTTTTATATCCCTTTGACAAATTACTAATCCGCATATTACCCATATAACCCACTATTACTATACACCCCCATATTTCCTCTATTAATGTATAGGTGTATTATTATCTGTATTATTATTGTTGTTGTCTTATGTTATGTGTAACTATTCTAGCGCTGATTGGCATGATCGATTGATTTGATGCATTATCAATTATTGTACATTTTAATTACTTTCATTATACGTCAATAAATGGTAAATATTTTCTGCTTCATCAACAGTCGCTATTAAGAATGATGTCATTTTCTTCTCGATGAATCTGTTCACTGTAGAGGATGACGCAAAGAGAGGGATGGGTAGCGAAGGAGGAATAGAAAGGGAATGGGGTGGGGGATGAGTAAGAGATCAAAGCTAAAGAGAAGATGAGAGAGACGTAGAGATAGAGAGAATGGAGAAGAGGGGGGGGGGGGGGTGTATGGAGCAGTGGCAGGCACAGCATCTTGCGATGGACACAAGAGCATTTCTGAACAATCTTAGAAAGAAGCCCCCCCCCCCTCCACCAAATATATATATATATATATATATAAAAACTCACAAACGAACAAGGAAACAAAACAAAACGCTCCCAAACCGTATCAGGACGATTATTCCCTGAACAATATACCCCGGAAACTCCCCCCCCCCCAGAACAATAAAAGCAAAAATATATCGGGGCTTAATTGTCTACAGGGGTAATTTTCAGGGGGGGGGGGGGGTTATTATCCTTGGGGGATTTTCCCGCTGGTAATTGGCCAGGGGTGATTGTCCAGGGGGTATAGAACCCTCCCAAGCAAACCAAACATTTAGATGCTCTTTGTTAGTTCTAAAATTGTTCGGGGGCACTTTTTATATAGGGAAATAGAAATAAGCTTTACATGTAGATGAAGAAATACCAGTAAACATGTTATTCATATGGATGCGGGGTTCGAGTTGAACTTAGCCTTGAAAGTCTTACAAAAGCTGCATTCAAAGAGCGCATGCAATTTATCACCAATCATCTCACTTTCACATTGATCATGCATGTACAACATTTTTTATCATGGGCATTGTCAAGCTCGCAATAGCGCCATCTAAAGTTGGCATTAACATGATACTTGGGCCTTAGAGACATCAGCACACTTGACAAAACCATGGGTGAATTAAAGAGGTGCAAATGCTAACCCCCAAACCGTCGATTTTCCTCCAGTGTAGAGGTGGCAGGGGTGCCATTGTATCATGAGAGAGAGAGAGAGATAGAGAGAGAGAGAGAGAGAGAGAGAGAGAGAGAGAGAGAGAGAGAGAGAGAAAGAGAGAGAGAGAGAGAGAGAGCGTGAGGGAGAGAGAGAGAGAGAGAGAGAGAGAGAGATGAATCATCGATATAGATACAAAAAGAGTCAACCTCCACTTCACCACGGAACACATATCCTAAGACGTACATGTAAAATAGCAAGCTAAAGTGAGTTAGAATAATACAATATATGATATATATAATCATAAAGGTATTATATTATGTCAAATGTAGGCATTATGAATATCCTCAAGTCATGCTGCATTACATAATTTCCAGTCAGATTACAATGTATGACAGAAATACATGAACATAATATTTGAAACAAATCAACAGCAGAGCTAAACAACGGACGTAACCCACAGGGAACTTTCCAACCCAATCCCTACCTCATTTTTCCGATTTATTTCAAATGACGCCATGTTATTTCCGCCGTCAAAGTAACCCACTTCTTCTTTTAAAGGTAAAGACCAGTTATGGTCATGCGATTGCATTGTGAAAGAAACGTTGTGGAATCGATCAGAAAAGGTTGATCATCTAGCATCTAGCATCTGCAAGGTTCTGGAATCATCAAAATGATAAGACTTTTTGGCCCATTCTTCGTAAAGTTACAAGCACTATACACAGAAAGATGTATATGGGACTACCCTATATCTCTCACAGACCATGAGAGAAACAAATTTACCAAATATATGAATTAGTAGGTGGTTTCCCGGCAAATTTGTTATCATCATGTATTAGTCAAAACATATTCTTTCACATGATTGGTAATGAGAGCTTCCATTTCATTTTTTGAAATTGGGGCGTTTGCAATACTGGTCTTTACCTTTAAAATATTTGTTTCGTTCATTTCTCCTCCTCTCTATATTTCTTCCTCTTACCACATCCGCAGATTGGATGCCTTTCCTATCATGAAAGTAGACATCAATAACTCATAGCCAGTGTGCATACTTTCGAAAGTGGTTGGTATGAAAATAAAAGCATTGGTAACATTCCTGGCAGCCCATCCATAGATTAAAAGAAATGTCATAATTCCGGACAAGCTATTATTATTGGCAACCGTAATCAGTAATATCATATTGGAAGCTTCGAGTATCCACAAGCGGTTAAATCGGGGAGTGACGATCTGTCTCTGTGATAGTCTCAATCCAAGTACCAATAGCAATATTTGTAGACTTTTTGTGCCGACCAAAGCATAAGTTTTAAGAGTGTGCCTGCATACAAAAAGGGTGTTGTTTCTGCAGATCTCCGTGATAAGCTGCATAGCCCGTTGTAGAGTAACAATAGAAGAAGAAGAAAAAACTTTTTTAGCCATTGTCTTTAACTTCGGTAAAAAACCAAGTCCTTGACTAACAACTAATGTTTGATAATATCGTGACGGTTTCTGCGTAGCTAAACATACTTACTACAGCTACGTACGTACGTACTACTAGCTAGCTATACATAAATCTAAAGCGTATAAATGGGAACGTTCGTCAACTCCATTGAACTTTGAAGGCCTACTCTAACAGTTAAGGCTAGCTGATCTCGCTCATTAGCTCTAAATGTAGATCAACATCATGTTGTGAGCATGCAAGAGGTCCAATAAAAGTAGTTTGGATATATGGTTTAGATCTGTTATTTTCTTGCCGCTCACCCAGCCCAGAGATTCTCCGACTCTGTTTAAGACTTGAGTGATTCACTGATTGATGTCTGATGATGATCTGTGCAGTGAGTTGACTCTGTCTGTGTGTGCCCACAACGAGAGCCGTCTTTAGCTTCCTCACCAACCAACGTACAAGCAAGCGGATGGTGCCCAGTGCAGTGCAGTAACAGTGTAGTGAGTAGTCTAGTGACTGCTAACGTTGGAAAGCGATTCACCTAAATGAGGAGGGTAAGCAAATCGGATTTCATATTGAATAAATGTGCAGTCTAACTATAATATTAATGACATCATAACTAGTACTAGTAGTAGTAACTCAGCTGTCTAACTTCAATTCAGCGTGGTCCGAGTGATAGGAAGAGGGGGGAGGGGGTGGGCAGTAGGGGCGCTGGTCCGAGAATAAGGATCGTCTTCATAAACGAGGATCGTCTTCGTAAACACGGACTGATGTGTCCTCAAAAATAAGGACCGTCTGCATTTTCGCAGACGTTTCATATTTTTGATCGGCGCATTGCCATTGGCGATGCAAAAAAAGGATTCTGCAATGATTTTCTTGATGCATTTTACATTGACTTTGTACAGAGACCTTTACATTATGAGCAATAAATCCTTGGGAAGACGGACAACCCATAAAAGTAGACGGTGAACTAGAGTTATTTTCCCAAGGGAATCCATTTTTGGCATCGCCAGCGGGCGGTTCTGTATCATGAAACCCCCAGAGCGCTGATGAAGAAAAACGTCCTCGAAAATGCAGACAGACCTTATTTTTGAGGACGCATTTTGTCTGCGTTTATGAGGATATCCTTGTTTATGAGGACGATCCTCATTTTCGGACCAGCGCCCCTACTGGTGGGGGGGGGGGGGGGTAGGGGGGCTTGGATTTAAATGGGGCCTAGGGTAGGGAGTAGACTCTAAGGGTATTTTCAAACTGTACTGCTTGTGATCCGGCCTTGGGACTAGAGAAAAAATAACTACATGGATATATTCTTTACAGCTGGCCCAACTTATCCCTCGGGGGCTCACTTCGTGAAATTGGTAAATCTCTGAGTTACCATGAAAACAATGTTTAAATCGCTGTTTGGAGCAATATAGTTTTAGAATTTTAGGGGTGGGCCCCTATGGGGAATATGGAGAAAAACCTGCTCTTTCATATGTCACCTCACTTATTGAGTATTACCTTCAGGATCACGAGCAATATTGGTTTGAATCTCATTTTGGTAATAAAAACATCGACCAATTTAGCATGAGCGCGAGCGCGCAATGCACATGAACATGAACTGCATAGGAATGTGTGCAATCTCTATGGGAAGGATTTTAGCACACAAAACTGAGTGCGCGATCAGACACCCTACTGATTTATACTAGCGACCCTCATCTCACATAATGAATAACTGTCCTTGTGAATAACGGTCTTCATTCTCTAATGTTGGTGTTTTTTTTATCCTTTATCGCATTCAAAACTGTCAACCCAGAGAGTTCCTGGCAAATTTTGGGGGGTTGGTGGTTTAAGGTTCTAGCTGTACATATGTACCCAGGATTATTCCTGTAGTGGGGGTTTTCGTACATGTAGGTAGCCACCCACTCACTGTGATTTGTATTTAGTGCAGAAGTCAACTTTTGGCATGATTGTAACTGAGAGGGAGCCATATAGGTCATATTTGAGTGCATGCAATTAACCAGCATCCCGTACACGGTACACGTACATAATGTGATGTGACAAGACTGGGATTATTTGCAAAACAGGAAGTCACGTGACACTTACACATGTAGAGGAACCTGCATGTATCATGACAGTGTCATACTCTGAACTAAAGACATACCTATTTCAGATTGCTTACAATTAGTCACTGCTTTTTTGTCCTTCTTAGTTAGAATCAAGAAGAATAAAGAAGTTTATACTTTGTGTTTACTAGTTGGTTCATTGTTCATGTTTGTACTTTCATACACTATATTCCTATTATAGTTTGTATCTTTGTGTCATTATCCATGTATAATGTAAGAATTGTATTCAGAAGTCATGCATTGCTATTTATACTTGTATGTTTGTTTGAACTCTCATACCCCGAGAGGGGGTCAAAGAGTCAATAAAATTCTAATTCTAATTCTAATCATTTAGGGTAGCATATATACAGTTTATTTCTTTCAAAATAAGATACCACAGCTAATTATTGATAAATAATTATTTATTAACTGATTATTGCTTCCTTTTACAGCTGCAATAACAGGTGCTCCTTTGTAGGCAAAGCTCAGCAAAAAAATGGCTACGTTCTGCTGGGGGTCATCGATGGAGGGTCAGCTGGGCATCGGTATTACCGGCGGTCAGACCACCCAAGAGGTGGCCAAAGAGGTGACCACTTTGTCTGGGCAGAGGGTCCAGAGCATAAGCTGCGGGAAGCACCATACGGGCATCGTCCTGGACGATGGAACGCTGTATATGTGTGGAGCCAATAGCAAGGGGCAGCTTGGACAGGACAGGAATCAGTACAAACCAGGTAAGAACAAGTTCCCAATTTTTTTGCCCAGGAGGGTGTTTCACAATCGTAGATCGTAAGTCGAATTGAACTCTAAGATGGACTCAACAATTATGGAAAGCCATTAGCATCTTTGAAAATATTTTGTAAAAGTTATTTTAAAAGGCATGAAATGTTGATTCAAATCATTCATACTTTCTATCATACAGGAGATTTCATGTTCTTTATGAGGAATTCATGAAAAGTCAAATATTCTTGAATTTTTACTTATGAATATATTTCATTTTAAAGACCGTCACCACTACTGGGCCAGAAGGGATTAGACCACACAGAGAGCCATCAAGGTCACTGTGACAGGTGGCTATCTCATTAACTCAGCTCTCATTTAACATAAGAAAAAGAGGATCATGGGGGACCAACAGGCACCGATTCGGGAAGTTTTCTATATAGAGGGAGCAAGTAGCTACAAGTATGGCAGTGTGCCTTTAAGGCTACAAATGGCTCTCCATAATGTTTAAGTCCAACTTAGAGTCAAGTTCGACTTAAGATCTTTGTGAAACACCCCCATTCATTTGCATTTCCTCTATTACCCGATTGACTAACGAAAATCCTCTTGAAAGAAGGTCTAGAGCAGACTTTTCAGGGTGTAGGAAAGCACCATGCAGGCATTGTCCTAGAGGATGGAATGCTGTAGAGCCGATAGCAAAGGCCTGCTTCCAAGGACAAGACAGCATTCAGGGAGGCGTTTCACAAAACTTGTCGTCAGTGACAAATGACAGTTTTTGTTATAAGCTACTGAAATACTTGCATCTGATTAGTTATCAGCAGATTTATCACTGATTTTTGTTATTTGTCATTGAAAAAAGACTTTGTGAAACGCCCCCCTGTTTTGCCTAGGGTCCCATAATACAAAGTGTAGCAATTGATGGCACAAGTGATTTGTGTGATTGACTGCATTGATTAATTGCCAAGTTTTATGTTAAGGTAAGGCTTAGGGAAAGAGACTCCCAAATATCTGGTCAGTTCTCCCCCCCCCCCCCCCCCCCCCCCCCGTGATTGTTTGAAAAGATGGTCTCGAGCAAAGTTTGTAAGACAAGTCTTACAGGCATTGTCTTCAAGGATTGCACCCTCTATGTTAGGACTTAGGAGCCAATCGTAAAGGCGAAGAAACATCCGGAAAGTGAGTTTGTTCTTTATATTCAAGCTGCCTGAGTTGAGAATATCTAGTTTATTTGCGCAACAATTAAGTTAATTCCCAGGAATTATGAATCAAGTTTTCTTCATCCTTTCACAGTTCAGGTATCCGCGCTGGAAACAGTGGTCATCAAGCATGTGGCCTGTGGAGATGACCATACCCTGGCTGTTTCAGACAGGGGTCAAGTCCTTGGATGGGGTCGGAACGACCGGGGTCAGTGCGGCCTAGCAACAGGGGATATCGAAAACAAACCAAGGCCAAGGTAAATTCTTCTCCATTGTATTTAGCTATTCTGGTTTCTTGAAACTTAACTCAAACATGAGACATACTCAAGCAAGGGTAACACTAACAGTGTATTGTGGTAAGAGTTTAAGACTAAAACCAATATTCCATGCAAGTGCAGTTTACAGCCAAGAGGTATAAGTCAAGATTAGCCTTACAGATTAAGTGCATGTACAGTGCTATACTTATACTGTCAAGAAATTTCAAGCAAGAAGTACATGAGGCCCTTTGATAGAATCACACACTACCTGTAGTTTGAATTGTTTAGTTACAGTCTTCTCTTTCAGAAACACCAATTTTTACCAAATCTATAACATCAATCAATGCTGCAGGATATATCTTACAAACAGAAATGAGACTAAAACCTTGGTCACAAATGCCATTACGAACTGCTACGAACGCCGTACGAACGATTTTCAGACAATGGAAATTCGGGAAGACAATAAAAAAACAGGGAAATTCGTACAAAATTATTGTTAGTACAAACCTTCGTGATGGTATCATTACTTTCACATGCTATTTTTCAATTGCGTTGCCAATTTACAGGTTCCTGTAATGAAATTGAAATTTTCTCCAGTTGGATTCAAGCTTTGTGTATTACTGGATAATTTGAAACATTTTTAAAAAGTTTTTTGCAAAAATTGGATTTTTCACATTTTCTTGTGATTTTTGTTTATTTTCAGAATTCTGAGGCATCTTGCATCCTACCAATTTGTTAAAGTCTGCTGTGGGTCGCTCCATTCAATGGCACTGACTCGAGGTAAGCATCAGGGAAGATACCAAGGCCCATTGACAGCACCCCCCCCCCCTCCTCCTTTATGATTGGTGCTAGTGGAAAAGTATGACTTGGTTTGGTTTGGGCGACGACACCTACGGCCGGCTGGGTATTGGGACCAGATGTTAGTGACCAACTACATGGACCGGCCAACTGAAGTCGCCCATTTCTAAAAAATTGAGCCTTATGTGGGCCTGTAGATAATAGAGCGCTTTTGCAAACATGACAGAAGCAAAGGGGAAGGGAGAATTACGTTACGGGATACAGCTCTTCTGCCGTGTTTAGGGAACGAACACTATAATGACCGGGTATGGTCATGAAAATCAACAGGATATAGAAAAGTCTGGTTCGCGCATATGCAGATTATTTTTTTCCTCGTATTACCGTCATCTTTGCCTTCCCTCGTGTTCGCGAAAGCGCGCTAATAATATATATGTGACTGTTCTTTTCTCCACCAACAGATGGCAGGCTCTTTTCATGGGGCGACAACACCTACGGCCAGCTGGGTATTGGGACGTTAGTGACCAACTACACTGACCGGCCGACCGAACTCACCTCACTCCGCGGTGTGCCCTTAGTCAGGGTGGCTTGTGGAGGCTTTCATTCCTTTGCTCTCACTATCTCAGGGTCTGTCTTTGGCTGGGGGAAGAATGATGTAGGCCAACTTGGCCTCGGTAATAAAGAAAGTGAGTAAATATGGGCCTTGTCACATCCTGAATTTAAATAGAAATCCAACCCAAATAGACATGAACTCTATTAAAAAGAAAGCAGAAAAATCAGAGAAGCACACTGATGAAAGTTTCAATTAAATCTGACTTAATATAAGAAAGTTATGAATTTTATGAATAACTATACGTATGGGCACTTTAAATTGGCTGAAGGAGTAATGTCAATGTGATGTAGTGCCGGACTACTGTCCCATGTGTTTCAACATATAAAATGATCTTTAATATATTTTGAGTACGGTAGTGCCCCGTAGGAGAAGGGACTTACAAGACAAACGGAAATTAATGATATTTTTGTACACCGCAAATGGGAGAGTTATTCACATCCTACATCACAATCCACTAACCAAAAAACCCATTTGAGATTCGCATAGACTTAGTAATCTCATATTTCAATGTTCATAACTTCCTTATTATTGGTCCGATTCATTTCAAACTTTTGCCATTATTTTTTTCTTTCATACAAATCTACTTATTACAAGGGTTGGATTGCCCTTAAAGAAGATTTGTCATAAAAAATGTGTTTGTTTAGTTTAGATGGCAAACTCATCCCTCAAAACACTCACCATTAAATGATTTTTCTCTTGAAAATGCAAGTGCATTAAATTTAGCTTTAAATAGAGTGCAATTTGGGTATTGAAAATTTGTTTTTATATTAAAAAAAGAATTATTATTTGACGCTGATACTTTTGATAAGGAATTCTAGGCTAGAACCCCACTAATAAAAAACAATTTCAGGGGATTTATCCCCCTAAAACTCAGATTTGTGATGTTTTGTTGTTGCAATTAGTGATTTGTTGCAATATTTGTTTTGCTCACTCAATCTGAAACAATTGGTGCAAAACTTGATATTTCACAGCAATTCATTTTATATATAATCATTTCTTTGGTTGCATTTTCTCCTCTCAACTACAGACAAATCTTATCCAACACTGCTCAGGAATATGCGCTCTCAGATGGTGAAACACATAGCATGCGGACAGGACCACACTGCCATGCTTACTGCGGTAAGTCTGCTTAGGTAGTTCATCCTAATCCACCACAAGTACCACTGCCACTACCACTACCATAACTACCACCACAGACCTGCCAACCAGTACGATTTAGTCGTATTTAGTACGATTTTTAGAAGCAAATACGACAGTATGATTTTCCTTAATAAAATACGATTTAAAAATTAAAAAAAAGTTAATGTTTTTTTTTTTTTTTAAATTAATATTTTGTGTGTGCGTCCGCTATTTTCAATGGCAAAATGTCCATTCTGTCCTGTAAAGTATCCTACAAGCATCTCACATCAGCAATTCAGGGATGTTCATTGGTTCATCGAACACACCAGTCATGACGTAATCATGCATATTCAACCAATGATCAATAAAAAAAATTCTTACAGAAACTGTAAGAGGCATTGATCTGCGTAACAATCCGTGTTTATTTTCAAGAATACAACTTTTGTCAGTAAAATACAACTTTTGGGACTAAAAAATACAGTTTTTGAACTCCAGAGGTTGGCAGGTCTGCTACCACAACTACTACTACCACTGCCACTATCACTACCACTGTGTTCCATTCATGGAGATGCATTTCAAGTTAATCTTGCAAAAGCATATTTTTATTTGTTCAGGTATATTGAGCTCTTGACATAACAAAATATTTTTCTCACTAAATCAAAAGGAATGTATACTGAAGATCCAAGACCATCAAAATCATTTTCTATCAGATGGTATTGGTAGAAAGTGATTTATAAAGGATGAATAAACAAATAACTAAAAGAAAACAAAACAAAAGGATGGAAAAAGGAATTTGAGCGAACAGTCTCTACTCAAGTGAATGAGGCAATCTCATGTTATGCAAATTTGAGCTGTGCTTTCAGTGAATATGATTTTATAACACAGTTTTAATAGTTTGCCCATCTTTACCATGATAAACCATTCAAAAGTTGCAGGAAATCAAAACTTTATCATCTATTTTTTTGTTCTATGTTAGGATGGAGGTGTCTTCCTTTTTGGCCAAGGGTCAGAAGGTCAGCTGGGTCATGGGTCAAACTACAACGAGGTCAACCCAAGAAAGGTCATTGACCTTATGGGGAGTGATATCACACAGGTCACTTGTGGAAAGTAAGTTAAATAGCTAATACATTTTGTGCACTTTAAGCACAATAAATCATACAGTATGAGTGCTTTCAGGAAAGAAGTGGATGCCTAGGGTTACGTTGTTACATACTGCGAGTTGCCCGCTGGGACGAAAATGATATATTTGTTGTAGATATTAAAGTTTATCAAGTTTATTTCAGACAGGATAATGTAACATGTTGATAGCCAATCTACCTGTAGATTAATTTGCAAATGAGGTCTATCGTCATCTTCTACAAAGCAGATAAACATTTAAGCACTGTGGTTCGGACTATGTGATAATTTCATAAATATACCTGCACATGTGAATTTGTTTCCATATTTTTTTTTTTTTTTTCAGACACCATACACTGGTCTTGGAGGGATCCAAAGGCAGGCTGTACGCCTTCGGTCAAGGGATCCATGGCCAGTTGGGCCAGGATGAGGCCAGGTCCTGTTCCAATCCACAAAGAGTTCCAGGTCCTTGGGTTCCTCACAGCTCCACAGCAAAGAACAGTAGTTCCAAGGGCCGTGTTGTGAGATGTATATATGCAGGGGGTCATCACTGCTTCAGCACAGCCACAAATGCTGCAGATGTAAGTGTTTTAACCCCTAGTAGCTTAGCATTGCCTCTTAGTGATTTTTTTAATTTGTTAAAACCTTTTGATCTAGAATGGTCTAAATTACATATTGTAAATAAGCAGACAGACCAACAAAATGGCAGGAAAATTTGATATTGGACATACTCACATGTAGCTTAAAATTTTGTCCAAAATGTTCTGCTAATTGTACTTTTCAAAGACATTTCTACTATGATATTCTTCCAATAGACCACTTCATGGTTAGCACATGTCCCAAATGACTCTCAAATATCCACAGATCTTCAAAACATGAAGAGGTCCCACTTTGTACATTTGAAATAACTCTACAGCGATGTAGGTGCTACATGAATAGCCTTTGTTTCCCCTTTTCAAAGAATACTTCCACCTGTGAATCATGAAGTGCACTGCTTGTGCATAAATTAATAATGATTACATAACTTTCATAAGCACGTATCCAGTATGTTGTCTCCATGTATTTCACATTGATCTGCAATGACCTTTATTTGCTCATGCTCAGACTGCAACTATGAACTGGCTCATTGACATATAAAAACGAGAAAGGTAAAAAACAATTGTACATCAGTCCAGATAAAAATCTCTTCTCTTTAAATGTAGAATCCAGAACTACCCCTTGACTTCAGGGACCCTACCCCTTACCAGCAGCCAACCTGCCTGACAGAAGGGCTCATCAAGGAGCTCTCAACCTTTGGTCCAAACGTATCGCCATCTCCAGAAGTTAGAAAAACTGCAGAGGTGGTCTTCTCATCAGCAGCATGTCTCAATGCATCTTTCCTCAAAGAGTGAGTACTCCTCCATTAATCCAATGACTGAGGTACCAGTACTAATAACTTGGACTGTGAAACATCGGCCAAAATTCTTAAATCATATAACGTAAGGCCGCTAGGGGAGTGTTTCACAAAGAGTAAGATCTTAAGGACTTAACTATGGCAGGCCATTAATGCCACTATTTGCTATCACCATTTACCGTTATTGGTCTCTCAAGGGATGTACAAATCATGTCACAAATCTACAGATTTACATATTATGATGATTCATCATTGAAGGAAAAAATCTGACCTGTAAAGGTGTTGTGATTTATTGGATAAGCCACTGAAATGTAGGTCAAAATAGACCTGTCCACATCAGCTCGAGTTTGCCAAATAACCTGCTATTTTCACTATCCCGATAGCAAATTAACCAGTTAATTTGCATTTTCATCAGCCTGCAGTTGCAATTAGCGGGATATTTGGTCAAGAAAATATCTAGAGGAATCTTGTTTTTTTTCCGAAATATCCCGCTATTTCCCAAATAGCAGGCTAATTTGTGCCCTTCCGAGCTAGTCTGGTGAAGGTACATGGTGCAAATCCAAGCCCAGCACTAATGTCCTTTGACAAGATATTAATCTACATTTGCTACTGTCCACTTACTCGGGTGTAAATGGGTACCTTATAAAGTGCTAGTTATTTTGGCAGCTTGGCTATAACCAGGGTATTGTCATATTTTGATGGATATGAATGCTATATATAACACCATTATTATTTTTATGAGTAAGTGGTAAGTGTCCCCCTCAGTCTTGTAAAAATTACAAAATTGCAGGAGTCTGTACAAAAAAGAGAAGTTGAAACTTAGCTATTTATAAATATCTGGACTATAAGTAAAATGCTATGTATGTAGTCTGCTTTAATAATACTGGCTGTTAAAAAGCCAGGTTAATTGTATAAAGACCTCTCAAGGGAGACCAGAATAGTGGTCTCCATAGACAGGTGGTCTTTCTTTACAGGTTCCTTTAGTACATATTCCAACAAGAAACAGAATGTGTTCTTGAAAGACTGGCAGTCTTTCTATACAGCTTGTTAGTTTGCATGGTACAGTCAAACCTGCTTTAGTGACCACCTGTCTACAAAGACCACATTTTTTTGTTTCCCTTGGAAATAGTTTCACATTGAAACAAGTACTAAAGGAACCTGTACATAAAGACCACCTGCCTACATGTATAAAGACCACTTTTCTTGTCTACAGACGTAAATAATCATGTCTGATTGACACACGTCTGAAAAAACCCAGCGTAACATCCCTTGGGTGGTCTTTCTAGACAGGTTTCACTGTATATATATTTGTTCTTTATAGGAATAATGGTCATTACTGCTGTGGCAAGTCAAACCATGGGGTGGACCTGGACACAGCTAGAAAAGCCTTCCGACACCTTGCAGACAAGAACATGATCCTAGAAATAGTAAGTGGCTCGTAATGACCAGTGTGAATTAATATGCCCCTATGCTTAAGGGGATCTGGTAACCTTGTCTTAGATCCTTTAAAAAAATCCTTGATTTAGCTCATGCTGCAATGATAGTTATAAACCTTTAGTTCAGTCAGGAACCCCATGATTTTACAAGCCGATCACCTGTCTGATTATCAAGATATTTATGATTGGGAATTTGAAATTCCAAAAACTGTTTTCCCAACGTTTTTTTATAACACTACAGCCTATTGGGAAAAATCAGTATGGTAAAACCGGTCATTCAAAGATTTTTAATTTTTTGAAGCACTTCATGAACATTTTGAATGCAATTTTTTAAAGGCTTCAATATTACACCATATCACAGATACTGATAACATGTAGGGCCATGCATCTTAGATTTGGCACTTTTGAGTGATGGTAAAGGGATGCATTCTGTAAAAGAAACTGTCATTTTCAACTGTTTTACTTGCTATAGATGTGATCTTTGAAGCGCAGGATTATGTATCAAACTCTTTAAACAATGGCATACCATCACGCTCCTGAAACGCACAACTCGTGTTGAGAAGTTAAATAAAAAAAAAAATGTTATAAATATATATAAATTGCCTATGGTACTGAAGGAGTAGGAGTGTCGTGGTCGAGTGGTTTAAGGCACTTTACTTGAGATGCGAAGGTCGAGGGTTCGAATCCCGACACGGCACTAATATCCTTTGGCAAGATATTTACCTGCACTTGCTACTCTCCACCCATGTGTTAAATGGGTACCCGGTAGGATGCGACCGTCATTGTTGGTCAAACAGTTTTTGAGCGTCAAGTATTAAACGCCTGGCTGGAATGCTCCCTATGGAGATGAGATTGTGCACACAGTGTATGCGGGCAAGTGTTGAATCCAATGACCGGGGTAATAGTATATCTGTAGAGCTATTAGAGACATCATAGATGTATTAAGCCCTTTATAAAAGCAGAATTATGAAGGAATTAGTGTGTCTACTAAACATGTTTCAATCATTGTTAAGTGTTCTATTTCTTTATCCTACAGCTAGCCAGCAACATCAACGCAAGCCTTGTACCGAGTCTTCCAGAATCCCCTCCAGATGTGGAAGCCCTCCGACTCTACCTATTATTAATGGAATGCCCCGTCCTCAGCAGGCCTCAGGAGCGGTGGTGCAGACATACCATTGCACAAATAGGGAGTGCCTTATGTTCGTTGAAAGGTGCAGCTGCTAAAATATTGGGTAAGTCATATTATTGTCAAAAGTACATAAAAGCTGATGTTGAGTTCTGGGCCCCGTTGCATAAAACTTACCATTGATGGTAACTTTGCCATCAATGGCAACTACCATGGCAACAGGGCTCAACAGCCAATCAAAATCAAGGTTTCGATGGTAGTTACATGTACCATCAATTTTTCATTTTTCAAATTTCATTTTTATTTTTTCATTTCCAACAAAATACAATACATAATAACTTAAGAGAAACTAATTTATATAATTTAAGAGAAACTTTAAGCCCTATTTATTATCTTTTTTTAAATATTGGTTGTGAGCTTTTATAATTTCTCCTACAATGATGTGGCAGATATTCATTTATATATGGTATAATGCTCACTTTTAAGAGTTTTATTCTGTGAGAATTTATCTTCCATTAAACCACTACATATCAATGACTACTTTTTATATGGTTGTATGACATATTAAAACAGTAATTGAAAACAATCTCTGGTATTTTGTGAAATGACAGCTTTCAACTGGTGTGTCAGACATTTTTTTTTTCCTTCAGCAGTTTCAGAATTTTCAGGAAATTCCCTGCAAAATTGAGTTCTATTAAGCCATGATATGAAGAAGGCTATTACCTCCTTCAATATTTGTACATATCAATTCAGACTTATGAAATTTGAATTTACTACCTGTCATCTGTTAGGAAACAGTTATTAATTTCTGTATTTTAGCAAAGTTTGTGAAAGTTTCTTATTAAAGGGAGTGTATCATTGGAAATACTGGTTAACGCCATCTACGTTTTCTTTTGGACAACTGCACATTAACGAATAGACTTGATTAACTGGGTCAGCGCGCTAGTGTTCGCGAAACAGACCAAAGTGCTCCTCACGCTTTGGTTTCGCGTATCTTGCACGCACGTGAATGCTGCGGTCGCATCGTCCGTAGTCGTCTTATACCCGATTGGCTCCGAGTAGGGCCACGGGAAAGACACATAGTCTCCTCATGACACACTCCCTTTAACAACACCTTTATTTCCAGTTTGAATTGTTCTGATTTCTTTATTTTCTATATTTGATTCCAGACAACTGGTGGTCAAAGCTGCAACCTAGACATCTAAACCGCATCCTTACTGTCCATAAAGACGGTATTCAAGCTATTCTTCAAGTAGGCTCGTTCAGACAGCTATGTCCTGAAGACCTGTCATTCCTAAATGTCTGTATGAGGGTCTTGGATAAACTTAGCAAGGTAAGACAAAATTCTTTGTAAACTCTTATCGTTTAATTGTTTAATCGTTTATGCCTCCTGTGTGGGAGCTGGTCTAGCGGCATGTTCACTTGATCGGCTCTCTGTCTACGCCTACAAACTGGCCGGGTGACCCTGGTTTGAAACTGAGTCACGTCTGTCAGATGGAGACGTTAAAGATCGGTACCGTGATGTAAATAATCATATCTGATTGATACACGTCTTTACAAACCCAATTACACACACACACACACACACACACACACTCCTTAACCAAAGCATCGCTGAAGGTACTATGGAGTTGTCTGTCTCTTTATCTCTACATCCAAATTGTATGTTAATTGTTAAAAGAGATGGAATATATATGTCAAGGGGTTCATTCAAACACCTATGTCCGAAAGACCAGTTATTCATAGATGTCTGTACCAGGGTCTTGGACAAACTCAGTAAGGTCAGATAAACGCTTCTTACTAAAATAAAGTATTTTTAAAGTCTATCTGCACTAGTTTGGCCAGTAGGGTTTAGACCTCCCTGTATGGTCACTGGCAGGTGGTTATCTCATCAAATCAGCTATTAATTAACATAAAAAAGGGGACCATGGGGGATCAACAGGTACCGGTTAGGCATTGTTAGCTGTATAGAGGGCTGAAGTAGCTATAGTAGTGCAGTCCCGCTTTAAAGTCTTTTTATTGATCATCATGACCCTGTGGTGGAGTATCAATGCTAAATCTTGAATCAGGACAATCTCTTCCCCTTCCGAATGAGCCACCAATGACATAACTGCTCTTCACATTCAGGGTATAGAAAAGATGAATACCAGTGTGTATGATAGAACTATTGCCTGAGCTGCAAAGACTGACTTCATCAGGAGTATACATGTAATTCAATTCAATTCAATTCATTTATTTCCAAATTCCAACATCGATTAAAAAAAATGTGTAATAAACAGTCACTGGGCAATACAAACATTATAAAACTATGACATTTCAATCTAGCTATTAAGAAGATAAAAAACAAAACAAGTCTAGAATAGAAAATAATAGGTCATTTATAGATCATTTATTTTGACTTCTTACAAAACAAAAGAAGAAACTTTCCATCCAGGGGAATCATATTACATACAATTACACAGCTTATGCAAAATTTATAATTTAAATACATTCATATCAAAATATCAAATGCATAAAAAGTATGAATAATACAAACATATACATGTAATACAAAATTACATAGAACATAAGAGTAAAGGGAAGAAGACTAAATGGAACAAATATAGAAAAAATAAAGAATGAGGGATTAACTCTTACCAGACTCGTTAAAGATCACTACTTGGTTAAGAGGATGTGAAGAATCTTTAACAAGTTTCTGAAAATGTGTCAGAATACGCTCATCAACTATGTCTGCCACACATTCAACATCTCTGCCTATTATTTTCTTTGCTGCTTAATAAAACTTTTTCGGCTTTGTTCCATCCTGAACCCTCAGAGAATAAAACCAAACAACACAGCAGTATGTAATCACAGATTGAATGACTGAGCTACAAAAAAAGCTTCATGATATCTTTGCCATGCGTGTAGAACAGCTGACCGCTTTTGATAGGAGCAAAACTTCACTGTTATTGCTCTTGGCTTTTTCTTCCTGGTTGTAGCGCCATCTGTGGTAGTAGTAGTCGTATCTCCGCTCTTCGACGAGCTGCTTTGCAATCCGGCCGCGACACAATGAGATCTATCAATCTCCTCCTCTGACAATTGTACGCCTAATCGCTCGGTCACGAGGCTGCAGATCTGATCATCTGTATTCAGTTCTGTTTACTTTGAGTTTTTTCTTGTTTTGCAGCAACAGTTTCCGAAGTCTGTAGGAAATGAGTTTTACGATGATAGCACCCGGTTTACGTGCCGTTCCTCCTGCCGGTGCTACCTGTTGACACACGCTATGACTCCTGTCAATGTCATCCTCCTTGAGATTTACTCCAAGATGATTCTTAGCAATATCGTAGACCAGCTCGTTTGTGTCTTCTTTTTCTTGCTCTGGTACCCCAAACAGCCGTACGCAATTTCTTCAAGAATATTGTTCTTGCGCATTTAACTGATGTTGTAACTTCACATTTTTATCCTCACATGTCTGCCGCTGCTTCTGTAGGTGCTTTAAATCATGTTCAATGATTTCCATATTCTCATCATTGTTTTCAGGAATGCCGTAGAATTTTAAGCAGTTTCTTTGTCTGTCAATTGGCCTCATTAAGACCATTATCATTCTCATCTATTTCTTTGATGATGGGACCTTGCTGGCTTTCTGTCCCATTGGTAACCCCGGCGGTGACTGTTGTTTTGAAAATTTGACAAGGCCTCATCATTTGTTGAAGTATGCTGAAAGGGGTCAACCAAAGAAATTTTGCGACAACTGATAACTAGGGACAAATTATACATGGATGGAAAGATTTTCTCTTGAAAAACACTATTAATTTGCTGAGAAATCATATAAATATCATGGAAAGGCGTAAATACTTTGTGGCTAGATGTGTCCTGCATGTGACATCACTAATCTTTTCGTTCTACGGAGGACCACTGAATGCAGGAAATCAGTATCTCAAAATTAACATTTTTGAGAGATGATTACTGCGGGCCCCAAACATATTTTGAAGAGGGAAGTTGTTGTATTTGATCAGTAAGGCTTTCCCGTCGCAATGATATGAATTTTGTATCAATTCATAACACTTTTGATTCTTCAGGTGACTACTTTAAAGGTACTATGTCCCATTTTCAGGCCAAAAAAAATGAAAAGGTTCAATTCCAACAGCATTTGAAAGATAATACTAATTTAGAACTTCCCTAACAAAAAGGGGGGCTTGAATATGTCTTTAAGTGGAGAAATAACGACTATAAGTTGTCAAATCGACTTAAGAGCTATAGAGCCAGTAAATAATAGTCTGATTTTCAGACCACTGTACCGAATGGTTGTACGTTTTATGCTGCGCAAAGATTCAATCAGTTCAATTTTGGCCATTAAAAGAAGTGGGTTATTGGTATAGACAAATGCTCATGTACCCTTTACAGCTCATTGTATGTATGTTATTACCAAAGAAGAAAAAAAAAGCCAGTCAGTCACTCAATAGTGTCTGACAGTGAAGTCTAGCAAGTAAACGGGTTTTCTTGCATAATTTGAATATTAGGACACTGCTAACGTTTAAATTTCACAGATAGGACATACATGACCTATTCATAATTCCTGCAAAGTTCTACAGAATTTGATGTTGGCTGCAAAAGGGACATAGTATCTTTAATGCCAGTCATGTGAATTGTTTTAATATTTGATTTTTTTTTCTTCCAGGTTAATCACAACCACGGGGAGATCCTACCCTACTACATGTTCTACATCACAGATATCAGCAAGTACATTGATGTACAGGAACACTTCTTACTCTTCCTACAGAAGACAGTAGGTTCAACTTCTGGTGTAAGTTGATTTATTATGATTAATTAATTAATTGAGTATTTAATTAATATTTTTGTTTTGTTTTGCATCTTTATTTAGGGCGTTCTGTTCAATCGGTAAAAGACTACCTTATTTGCCGGCGTAAAGGCCACAGTATTTTTGGAAGAGAAAATATCAAAAAGTCGGGGTGCGGCCTTTACGACGAAAGAGTAAAAAAAAAAAAAAAAAACTTAAGTCAAAACTAACACAAATTTGCAGATATGGGACTAGAAACGGTAAAAAAACTATACCACTATGATACAGGATATTTTCAAACATCTTACCAACAATTTTATCTTGCAATGTTGACATGAAGACGAAAATAACTTCCTAAAACAACATTTGCCGATATATCTTGATCTAAGTTCGTGCTGATGCATTGCAAAAGTAAAGGAAGGGACCGTAAAACGGACCTGCCGCGAAACATCCATCCGAAGTCGCCATTTTGTTTTTCCATTTCATGCAATTTCACATTACACCGTACATTGTGGTAGGGGTAAATCGGACACCAAATCTGCCTGCGATCGCTTTTTTAGCTAAACTTCCGGTAAATTACGAGAATATTGATGAATTTGGTATCAGTTTGTAAAAAAAAAATAGTGTTTTAAGAGAAAATTACGATCATTTTGTTTTGTCCGTTTTTTTTTTTTTTTTTTCCCCTCTTTGAAATGTCAAAGTTGGGGTGCGGCCTATGCGGCGGTGCGGCCTTATCGCCGGCAAATACGGTAGTCCACTACAGAGCCCTCATAACATAAAAAGTGCACAGATTTATTGCAAATACATAATTACAATAAATTACAATTACAATTAAATAACATATACACATTTATTTTGTTAATGTATTTATTTTTATTAATATTTTTTTTTTACAGAATGTCAGTTTGTTCACATTCTGTGACTACCCTTTTATATTTGATACCAACACCAAGACACAGCTTCTTCACATAGATGCTCTCCTACAGATGAAGGTAGGATGAAGTTAAAATGAATTATTGAATTATCTTTGAAATAGTTCACAATGTATGCCACATTTAGCCCCTAATGTTGTGTAGAGGGATCTATGTAGTAGTTTTTTAAATGACAAAGCTATCCTAAAGCTCTGGCTACTATGCATAAAGTTGAGTTCATTAATGGTAATTTTTATTCATGTAGATAATGGGTACCGGTATGCAGGTGAGACGGAAATAAGAATAAGAATATGTTTAGATTTCATTGTGAAAAAGAAGGGAATCTGTCATAGGCTTCATGCATGAGTTATTCATTCTCTTTTTAAGATGGACATCGAATATTGTTATTATGTACTGCTCTTCAACTAAAGCAGTTGCATCCCCCCCCCCCACAAATTCAGTCGTCAAACTGCAGATCTAAAAGAAAATTGTGTATGCGTTACGTATTGTGTTGTTTCTTATTTATTGTCTGCTTCATCAGTCGGTTTAGCAATTGTCTCGTAATCCGGTGACCCGGGTTCGAAACCAAGTCGATGCGCTAGTGCCTTTTGATAAGGCATTAATCCTCATTACCAGGTCCCTCTGGGAGGACCTAAAGCCTTCGGCCATCTAGTTGTTTACTTACAAGCATTTATCCTTTCTTAGCAGTCAGGGAAAATAACTACCATCACCATCGCCACCATCACCAACTAACGATGAAATCACTGCAGATTTGTCATGTGAATTCAGAGTATTGACATCTTAAATAGCCATCCTGAGACAGAACATTGTTTTTACCCCATGACTCTTCCATTCCTATCATTCCTCTTGTAGTTTGCAATTGAAGACGTCCAAAGAAGAAACCTGCAAAGCATGCTAAGTTCCCAGATTGACCCGGTCAACCCATGCCTGGTCATGTGCATTCAGAGAATTGACATCTCAAATAGCCATCCTGAGACAGAACTTAATACCCCATGGCTCTTCCATTATTTTTCCTCTTGTAGTTTGCAATCGAAGATGTCCAAAGAAGAAACCTGCAGAGCATGCTATCCCAGATTGACCCGGTCAACCCATGCCTGATCATGTGCATTCAGAGAAAGAACATTGTCCCATCAACCATCAACCAGATCAGCAGGTGTCATCCAGCGGACTTCAAGAAGCCTCTTAAGGTCGGCTTCGTAGGAGAGGATGCGGTGGATGCTGGAGGGGTCAGAAAGGTGAGTTTAATAGATTTTGCTCACAAGTGAACAGGGGGGTGTTTCACAAAGACTAAGAACGAATTTAAGTTGGACTTAAAGGAAAAGGAAAAGTTTTGGAAACTCCCCCCTCTCAAAAAAATGAAATGGAAACTCTTATTACCAATCATGTAAAAGAATATGTTTTGACTAATAAGTGATTATACAAATTTTGCTGGGAGACTGCCTACTAATTGATAAATTTGGTAAATAATTATACATATACATCTTTCTGTGTACAGTGCTTGTAACTTTACCAAGACTGTGCCAAATTTCTTAAAATTTTGATGATTCCAGAACCTTGCAGTACAAACCAATACTTATATACTAAATGATCAACCTTTTCTGATTGATTCCACAACATTTATTTCACAATGCAATCGCAGGACCATAAATAACAAGGGCCTCAAGACTGAGCCCTGGGGGACCCCATGTTTAACTGCCTTCATATTTGAAAATTTGTCATTGACTTTCGTTCTTTGTTTCCTTTCAGTAAAATATGATATTATTGTAAATGATTACTATACTGATTAAGATTTCTTTCTTTCTACCAGGAATTCTTTATGCTTATCATGAGAGAGATTCTGGATCCCAAGTATGGAATGTTTAGATTCTACGAAGACTCAGGAAAGATATGGTTCAATAGCAAAGTAAGTATTTCAAACATGCTATGAAGTTACATACAGTAGTTTACAGGTTCCATGAAATGCCTATTTGTATAATATGATTTTCCGGCTCCCTAATAATCCTACAAAATAATGTTGTGGTGTTTATGATATCACAGACAGCTATTACTGCACTACTTATAGGGCTAATTGCGCCCTCTACATAGCAAACAATGCCTAATCGGTGACCATTAGTCCCCCATGGTCCCCTTTTTCTTATGTTAATTTAGAGCTGATTTGATGAGATAACCACCTGTCAGTGACCTTGCAGGGTGGTTTAATCCCCCCTGGTCAAACTAGTACAGACAGGCTTTAAAAGAAGCATAACAATGCACATAATTATGCATTTTACCATACCTGGGAACAGTGCAAATAACAGAACGACAGGTTTTTCACATAATTCAACCTTAAACCTTTATCTCTAGACAATGCTAAAACAGTCAGATTTGCAATGTCCATTATGTAGAAGTGTCGTAGTCGAGTGGTTTAAGCACTTGACTTGAAATTCAAAGGTCGTGGTTTGATCCCTGACTCGGCACTAATGTCCTTTGGCAAGGCATTAATCTTAATTTGCCACTCAATACCCTAGAGAGAAATGGGGGCCCGGTAGGATGACGAAAGCATTTGCGTTAGTAATTGCCTATGCTTTCACAGTGACCATATTGTAGGAATACTCCCCAGGGAGTGGAGATGGTGCATATTGTGCATGAATGAATCCAATGACTGGGGTGATAATAACTGTAAAGTGCTTAGGGACGGTATTCCGTATTACGCGCTATATAAATCAAGATTATTATCATTATTATTATATTTTTAACACAATACGTTTTGGATTATTGTTAAAGATAAACTCCAGTACTGGTAAAAAAAAAAAAAAATTCTCACAGAATCAAACGAAACTTACACTGAATGTTCAAGATTACAAATAAATAACATGTGCCAAACAATTTTGGAAGAAAATGTATACTGGCTGAGTAATGAGCATAGAAAGAAAAGGAAATCAAGGTAGTACTAGCCCCGACACCATGTGTGTTGTCCCATATATAGCTTTCTATGTGAGTGCTTGTTACTTTACCAAGACTCGGTCAAATTTATTATGATTTTGATGACTCCAGAACCTTGCAGTGCACACCAATACTTACATGCTACATGATCAACTGTTTCTGATCTTTTCCACACCTTTTCTTTCACAATGCAATCGCATTACCAGTACTAAAGTTTATCTTTAAACTCTCTATTTTCATTGTATTCCAGTCATTTGAGGATCCCATCATGTTCCGCTTGGTGGGCCTGGTATGTGGTCTAGCCATCTACAATCACATCATCATCTCACTTCCATTCCCATTGGCTCTCTACAAGAAACTACTAGGAAGGTAAGCTTTAGATATTAAAGCCCCACTGCACTACTTGCTACTTGCGCCCTCTATATAGCAAACCATGCCTAATCAGTGGCTGTTGGTCCCCATGATCCCCTTTGTCTTACGTTAATTGAGAGCTGATTTGATGAGATAAACACCTGTCAGTGACCTTACAGGGAGGTCTAATCCCCCTGGCCAAACTAGTGCATACAGGCTTTAATTGTTTTAATAGATTTGAATTAATTAATTTATTTCATTAATTCATTAAGTTCATTCAAATGTATGTTGGACATAAATCTCTTTATCTTGAGAAGACACAGTATTATTTCTCTAATGATTTTATTTATTATCAGTAAACAGGTTTGCCTTCACTTTAAAATATGCTGTCCTTGAGAGCCCTTAATAAAAAAAAAACAATACAAACAATATATACAAAAGTATGATACAAAATATACATAATGAACAATTGTAATGTAGATCTTAGAGCAGTGTAGAACAGAGATGATTGAGACCCCGTGGTGACTGGAGAGTAAGGTAATGATACATATATATATATATATACATTGTAAAGGTTGAGTACAAGCTATTTTGTCCCGTACGTTACTGACCCCATCTAATACATCGGTATACCTGATAGCTGTATCGAGCTGATAGCTGTACTTGATCAGAAAAATGAATAAAATAAAGTGAAACTTTTATGCCCCTTTTTGTTCACAATTCCATAAGATGTATAGGACATACATATGTACATGTATCTTGGACTTGCCCTTAACGATCACACTGTATCATAGTCCTCACACTTTAATACAACAGCATAACTATCCTCCATTCACACCTCACAATCTCCAGGAAAACCACTTTAGAAGACCTCAGCAAGCTGGAACCACAAGTAGCCCATCACCTCCAGGCATTGCTCGACTACGAGGACGGGGAGGGCTTCAGGGATGCCTTCCCTCTCGTCTTCCAGATCGACGAGGATAACTTCGGACACGTCCAGACGACGGATCTCATCCCTAACGGAGGGGACAAAGAAGTCACTGCAAAAAACAGGTGATTTCTATTAATACCAGGGTTCATAAAGCCATATTCCCAATTTTTCCCCCCGATTTTACCCCCTGATTTTACCCCTTTTTTCCAGATTTTTCCCTTATTTCCAGATTTTTCCTGATTTTTCCTAATTTTTTCCCAATTTTCTTACTCAAAAGGGGGGGGGGGGTACTGTTTTTGATGCCATTTCCCCCCCCCCCCAAATCCTTCTTCTTTATTTTTTACTCAAGGGGGGGGGGGGACGGTTGAGGAAAAATCACCCCTGTATCTAGATGATTACTCCTATGGGGTGTTTCACAAAGACTAAAATCAACTTTAAGTTGGACTTGACTATAGCTAACTATAGTTCATGCCATTGTTTGCTCTCACCATTGGTCTCTCAATTATGATTTGAAGATAATATTTTTTCCTTCAATAATCAACTTTAGAAAAAATGTAAATTCTGTAGATTTCCGACCATGATTTTGTATGTCCCTTGAGAGACAGATGCCAGTAAATGGTAGAGAAAACCGTGGCATGAAGGGCCTTCCATAGTTAAGTCCAACTTACAGTCAATCTGAATCTTTGTGAAACACCCCCATGGATGCATATGTTGACTAGATCCTGAACAAGTCAAGTCGGTGGAGTCTCGGTTCTCTGTTTCATTCTTTAATTTGTTTTTAAATTTAAGAAATGGTTCATTTCTTCCTCTCTGCTCTAGCCACACACATTGATGTGGGTCTTTGGGTTCCGGGGGAAGTATGGTTGCAAAGCTAAAAAAAACAATTCCTCGCAAGAAATGATACATTTCATCCTTTTTACTCCACTCTCTAACTGTACCTCAGGCAAGAGTACATTGATGCCTACGTAGACTACACCCTGAACAAGTCGGTAGAGCCTCAGTTCTCGGCCTTCAGCGAGGGGTTCCTAGAGGTGTGTGGAGGCCATGTTCTTAGCCTATTCCATCCGCAAGAACTCATGGCTATGGTTATTGGAGATGAGAACTATGACTGGGATGAGCTGGAGAAGGTAATATTGATTGATGTGTCGATGGTGAGTGGTTTGAAAGCATGATTTGAGATGTGAAGGTTGTGGGTTGTGTTCTGGCTGTGTATTAAAGTTTGTGTACAGCTAAATATGTATGAAATTAACCCCCAAACTTTGCCCAGTGGTGAAGAATAAAAGAAAGTAAAGAATAACATAAATGTAACATTAATGTCAACAATGGCTGCCTGCTGTCAAAGTTTTCCAAGAGACATCAAGGAACTCCATCTTATAACAGATAAATCCCTTGTGTGGTTTTCCAACCCTCACTTGTCATTTTAGCTGCAAAACGTGAGCTGATGGAAGAAGAATGCTATTTTTTAGCCTCATATATTATTGATTTTGTTTTGTTTTGTTAGAGTGTGGAGTACAAGGGTCAATACTACAAGAACCATCCCACAGTGAAGCTATTCTGGCAGGTCTTCAGAGAGATGTCCTTAGATGCAAAGAAAAAGTTCTTAGGTGAGTTGATTGCTCATAGTGCCACAAAGATTAGTTGTTATACAGTCAAACCTGTTTTAGTGACCACCTGTCTACAAAGCCCACTTTTTTCCCCCTTGAAAATGGTTTCTCATTGTAACATGTAATAAAGGAACCTGTCTACAAAGACCACTTTTTTTGTTTCCCTTGGGCAGTTGCTATTGACTGGTTTGACTGTATTTCAGTTGGGCATGGGGGGGGGGGGGGTCTCTAGGATATAAGTGAAATATTTTGTTGTACTGGCATTTTAAAGAGAACTCAGAATTGCCCCTACACAAACTGAAGAAGCTCTCAAATTAAAATCAGCCGAGGGTCAAGAATTAAATTGAAATTGATAGATCTGCTGAGTAGTATATCTGTTACAGTCAAAGTGAGTCAGAGTAATACAACTTCTCATCTATCAACATGTTCTTGGAGATTTTAGGAAATAATGAAGGCACAAAAATATTTAAAGAATATTGGTCTCAAGATCTGCAGTACATACATTTTCTGAGCAAGGGTTTAACATTGTTTTGAGGTAGAGGGTACAAAGACAGTTGGATGAAAACTGTGTCTCCAATCCAAAAGATATTTGATATAGCGCCTTTTCCTTGCAGTTACAAAGCGCTGCACACACACCACTCCACAATGTTTGGGCCACTTAAAAACAAAAGTTAGTCACTTCTCAGAGATCAGTCAAGTATATGTAGACTGGTAATAAGTAATTTCGAGCAGAATAGATGTGACATGACTAATTTCTACTAAACTAGTTCTTAACCTTTTCAATGTATTTGTGTTCTGTTTGCAGTCTTCCTAACGGGTAACGACCACATTCCCATCCAAGGCTGGTCCAGCCTTCAAGTCATCATCCAGCCTGTCAAGGGTGGCAACGACTTCTTTCCAGTCGCCCATACCTGCTTCAATCTCCTGGACCTACCCATGTACGACAGTATAGACATTATCAAAGAGAAGCTGTTAACGGCCATCGAGCATACAGAAGGATTCACGTTGGCATGATCGTTGGAACTTCTATCTAGTCCCATATGGGATGTTTTGTGTAATCATCCAGCCTTTTAAGAGTGCGTACGCCCACAGGTGGTTAAATCAATCTTCTGGATCTCCCAGTTAAAGGCAGTATGGACATGAACATTGCAACTTTTAGTCCCATATGTGAAGTTTTGTGTAATCATCCAGCCTCTTAAGAGTGCGTACGCCCACAGGTGGTTCAATCAATCTCCTGGACCTCCCAGTTTACGACAGTATGGACGTTCTCAAAGAATAACTTTAGGCTGCAGTTGGGTGTTCATATGGATTTAGGTTGTTCGCATGAACATCGCTATCCTGAGTCCTTGACTTTCCTTGACCTAAGCCCTCCACACTATCTGAGAGATGTTTGATGGCTTCTGCTTCATGACCTCAAGCCAGATCGCCCTATCTTGTGATGTTCTGGTCGCTTCTGTGAGGGATCCCAGACATCTAGTAGCACTATCAGCCCGAGTCCCGTATATTAATTATAATGTGTGTGATCGTACAGCTCTGCTAAAGTGGAAATGCCTTCTTTCTTGTCGATTGTAGTTGCTTCAGCTTTTAGAACTTCAGTATCTCAAACCAAACACAATTTCAAAGAGAAGTTATCATTTGCTGAGTATTTAACCTGAAGTAACTCATACTGGAGCCTATGGAAACCATGTGTTATAACATTATGAACTAGTGCCTAATGAATTGACATTTAATTTTGATCGTACTGATGGATTTACTTTGACAAGACCAGGATTACACCTTTACCCATACCTGAAGTCGGACATGTGACATTAAGTGTAATTTCCTACTCTTGATGGATGTTCTCAAAGAAAAGCTATCTTCTTCTTCTTCTTCAAGATAATCTGCCTCCTTCAATACTGAAGAATCTTACAGATGCCGTAAATACTCAGCCTGATTGGGGTTTTCCCCCCTACTCTTATACGAATAGTGTAACAGGTTCTTAACGTGCAAAGGTGGTGACTCTCCTCTTCACGGGCCTCCATTTAACGTCCTATCCGAGGAATGGAGTGTTTTCCACTAAACATAGCCTGCGTCTATGAAACAAGGGGAGGGGCACGTTCACACACAACGCAGGCTTCAGTCATCCGCCTGGGTTGGATTTTAACCCGGGATCTTTGGTTTGACAGGCAGATGCTTTACAGACTGAGCCAACTCGCCTCTTCCTATTGATAACAATGCACGGAAGGATTCATGAAGCATGAAGAGATGGCTGCACCGAGTCCAATACTTGATCTTCTGTGTGATTCTATGACTCCATAGGCAATATATATGCTACTTTCCTGTTGCTTATCCTTGCTTTAGCTTTCTGGATCTACCCATCCAGCTTTATGAATATAATCGCAGGGTTTGAAGGCACCAGGGCATACAGAATGATCCAAGTGTTTAAGATCAATACATTACAGAATTTAAAATGATGTGTTTCATCAACGACACTTGCTCTTTTTCATACAATGTGCATGCTGTCCATAGGAACCGATAGATTATTGTAAGACACATGTACATGTCTAATTGTCTATAAACCTTGATACATTTATAATTGAGTTTTATTATATTTTTACCAGTATTCACCCTTGCAACATGATTATATCATCTTGGTATATTGTACCGCTTTTCAAATTTGCAAGAATTACGTAATTGGGCAGTCAGCCTGGATTTTAGGTTATTGCATGGGAATGTAATATGTAAAGCTTCATTCTAATGTCCATCCTGCAGCGGCTCCAGAAAAAAAAAGGCATGAGATTGCATATTACCGTTAATTTGATATGAAGCAAAGTGAAATCAAGGCTATCTAGTATAACAGAGGGTTGTTTCACAAAGACTAAGGTCGACTATAAGTTGGACTTAAATGTGGTAGGCCCTTCACGCCACTGTTTTTTCTCACCATTTACTGGCATTGGTCACTCAAGGGACTTACAAATCAAGGTCACAAATCTACAGAATTAACATATTTTGATAATTCATTATTGAAGGAAAAAATATTATTTAAGATCATAATGGTGACGGAGCAACTAGTGGCATGAATGGCCTGACATACATGTAGTTAAGTCCAACTTAAAGTCGATCTTAGTCTTTGCGAAACTCTCCCCTGATATAAAGTGAAAGGAGTTTAATGTCCATGTTTGGACAGCAAAGAAGTTATATTTTCCCTCAGAGCTTTGCACTTTGTGAAAATATAACTTCCTTAGCCAATAAAAAAAAATATTGTGTCACACACCCTACAAGTCAAAATATGTATAGTATGCCTTACCAACGAACAATTTATTGTGTAATACCAAAGATTATATATGTATATTATCCCTTCATGCTTTTAATGGCAGAAATACCATGTAAATGTATAAGTTATTCTAGCGAATGTGGTAATGAAAGGTATTCATAAAATAACACCAAAATTATGAGAGATTATTTTCAGGCACGGAATTAGAATGCGATATGGACAGGGCATTAGGAATAAATTAATATCCCCTCGATAAAAGGATTGAGGTTTGCTTACTTGTTTGGTCATAATCCATTCTTTTTCGATAAACTACATGTACATTTGTATTACATATGTACCACTCAAATGACGATGCAATGTAGCATTACCATGTGAAGAAATAAAGTCTGGATGGTGGTGGGATGCTTTAATACATTAAACATTCATTGGTTTTTAGATGAACACAGTTTTACTACTTGTATGAAAATGCAACTTCTGTATTGGTTACTAGAAAACTGAAAAACCACCAGAAAGTCACTCAAATAACCTTCACAGGAAAAAAATTATCTTTTGATTTGAATAGATGTAATGTAGGCAAATAGACAAGGCTTGTGATTTTCCTATTTGGGGGTTAAAGTGGCCTTCATTTGTTGAGATATGCTGAGTAGTTGGATTGGCGTCTTGGTTTTCCAGGGGTATTATTTAAATTTGTATTGCTTGTTCGTATTTATTCTAAAGCTTAGAATAATTGTGTGTTTTTTCGTCATAATGGGCTGCATTTAATCCTGCCTGGGACTGAAATTTGCTGACCATTTCCTTCTCTGTGACTTTTCCTTCACTCTTCTATAAAATCTCAGAGGTTACTTTTTTGACATAAGAACAAACCAACAATCAATTTATTGTCACAACTAGTACCACATAGTGATTTTATGATTTTTGAGCTGATCTGTTGTTTTCCTGGGACATAATGTCATTGAATATGATAGTATATATTGATAAACTTGAAGTGGTTTGAAGATCTGACATAATTTTGTTCTATCCCTCTATCACTCTCTCTCTCTCTCTTCCTCCCTCCCTCTCGTGTTCATTTCATGTTTTAAGCAGTGGTTCAACTCCTGTTTAAATGAGAACATCATCGTGCATCTGTTATATACATATATGATATGCCATTTTCCCTTTATACATGATTATAGATTGAGCCTTTGAACAACAAAAAAAGGATTGTATCGTGTAAAAATTATGATAAGTGACCAAAGTTTATTTGCACTTTGTAGCAATAAGATGTTTGCCTTTCATTATTGATTCATATGCAAGTAAAAGATCCAGGATTATTGGAAGGACTGGAGGAAGGTTTAGAACAAATTTCAACTTATTATTTTTTTCTTTTTTTTTTCTTCTTTTTCTTCTGGATAACATTATTCATAATTTTGCCTCAATTCCCGTTTTTTGCTGTGGGAGTTAAGCAAGTATGCACTGGTATTTCTGTAGATAGAATCCACCTTGCTTAATTACTTAATTGCTTGTGATTGTTATTTTTCTCAATCTCCAGGCAACCTTTAGGTATTGTAGTCGTGAGCAACTTTTTTTGGAGAAAAGTACATTGGCCAAATGTACTTACTTTTCCTAATATTATTTCTGATTTGAAAAAGATGAATGATGATTGGTATGACTGAGGAATAGTCTTTACTCTAACTAAAGCCTGTGTATTGTTTTTGTGGAAAGGTCATGTTGAGCTCTGGTCTTGAAATTACAATATGAAAGAAAGTGTCTGTAAGCAATGTAGAAAGGTTGGTCGTGTAGTAGATACAAATTGGTGTATACTGCAAGGTTTTGGAATCATCAAACCGATCTACTCTGTCTCGCTGAAGGTCACAGAAATGGGCATATGGGACTACACACAAACATTTTTAATAACTTTCAGGTGATTTCATCCTAACTGATGACAAACAAATAATTAGAAAATTCAATTGTTTGTGTCATTACCAGAACTCAACATTCTCTTTTAAGATAAGGGCATGTGCAAATTATATCTTACATTAATTATGGTTTGTTCTGTTGTATATAATTTGTATATAATATATTGACCCACCTTGTAAGAAGTCTGTATATCACTTTCCACAGAGAAAACCATTTTGCATTTTTGTTTCACATATAATGAAAGCATATGATACCTAACAAATTATCAGTATTGTTAAATATTTTCTTTATTTTGATGTGTTTGATAATAAAATCATAACTATCATAAAAAGGAAAATGTATTTAAATGACTGGAGAGGTGTTGAGTGTATGATTAGGTGATTGGTGTACCGTATGAGCTAGGTAATTAGTGTATCATTAGGTAATTGGTGTAGGATGACGTGATAAGTGCACATAGTAAATTATACATACCGCTACATACATCTTTACAATGAGATCAATAAAACGTGCAATATTGTTAATGATCACTACATTATTCAAGCAAGAAAATGAGCCCTTCGATGGACCCTTTTTCACACTTTGATAAACAAAATGGACATTAATCGTTGTGGTGGTAGGGGTATTAAGTGCCGGCACTGTAGAATTTATTATCTACGACTATCATCACTAAATAGGTTCAGTACATTGGAAAGCATACCGGTACAGTATGATTAAATATTCTGGTAAGTAAAATACACGCCTTTTCTTGCATTTCCTATTTGACCGTGATGAATAGCTTCAAATCTATCATGAATTTAAACATCGCACATGCATAATTACCTGCTAAGTACTTCTTTGAATCTTCTAGACAATTATAGTCCCAATAGTAAACGGGTTTCTTTGCATAATTTGAATATTAAGACACTGCTAATGTTTAGATTTCACAGATAGGACATGCATGACATATTCAATATTATTCATAATTCCTGCAAAGTTCTACAGAATTTGATTTTGGCTGCAAATGGGAAATAGTATCTTTAAAAACATTGACCATTTAAAATTGACATACCTAAATGTATACCCAAAGAATTATAAAAGACTAAAAAGAGTACATCACAATTTTGATGTTATTACTTACAACATATCCCAAGCTCCTTCAGTTCTTAAATACGCACTTTTTCAATGCCTTTATACAGTAGGTTTCTTACAAATCATGGTTGTACAATGTACATGTATATCACTCAGCTTTCAAAACGGAAAAAAAGTTCACTGGAAATGTTATTTCATAAGATAAGTTTGAACAATGCTCACAGACTATTCACTGGAAGTTTGGCTTCCTATACCATACATACATCGATGCAGGTATGACAAAATTAACGCAAGAATTTCAAAATGCATTGTTTAATTGACTTATTTCTCTTGATTAAGAACCGGAGCATACAAACTATTATACCACTTGTTGATTTTCTTGTTTATATAATTGTTTTAGTTAAGTATTGTGAAACAAAGTGTTCATGTATATGAATGAAGTTTACAAGTAAATTCAAACTTGACATGCGTATATTCATCTTCCATTGAAGCCTTGTTATAAACAAATTTGAAAATTGATTATAATTATTTTCATTCACAAAAATGCCACATATTGATGGGTTTCTGTCTCACAAAAATTGGATTGTTTAAAATATTTCAACCATGGAAAAATGGTATATGAAAATAAGCTTCTGCAATAAGGCAGCACATTTGCATGAATCACTTTAGTACACAAACACTTCACATACATAGCAATGTCTAAGGCATGCTTACATATATTGACTGCAAGGTAGTGAATGGAAATATACATATATAAATATATAAAATATATATGAATACATTTGCTCCCAATTAATGGTGACAGAAAAATGTTAAAGACACAGGCTAATATTGACACACACATTCCACAAGGGAGTGAATAAACTTTGAAAAACTAGGCACACTGACATATTGAATATAAATATATTTTCCATCGATATCATTCAAGCCTTCATCTGTGTTAGACTACATGCTTCTTACATGTATTGTATATTCTTCTTTTTTGCAGTGATGCCCAACCCATTATTCATATCATTAGCCACAATTCCCTTCTCAAAATAAAAAAGGCCAAGATCATATTAATGCCCTTTTGCTTTGTGCCCCTCTCTCCCTGCCTTTCCCTAAAACTGACAAGATTAAAGGCTTTTCAATCCTGTTATGGTTTTTCTTGTTCTGTTTGTTTGTTTATAACAGGGTTTGCACAAACTACACATCATATCACTATGTCACATACAGCACAAAAAGCCCTCATCATCGTTTCAAGGTGGGATGGAAAGAAATGTCATCTGTTTTTTGAAATTTTCGGAGTCAAAGTGTATCGTACCGTTACATGATTTATTTTCATCACAATTTTAAATATGAATCTGTAAAGTTTACCATGACAATTAAATGTCAAATATACATGTAAGCAGTGCAGACCTTCATCAGACTCGGTGCAGACCATGTACCATGCTGCTGTGACAGGCTGGATAAGACATGCACTAATAGCGGCATGGCAGGGGAACATATGCCATTTAGGTGTGATGACTTGAAATGATGATAATTACCATATTTTCATTATATCAATTTTTACCTTAATTTTAAATACATAATTTCAACAATATATACAACACACTTACAATAATGCTGTTAAAAGTTTAAAAAAAAAGTAAAGTGTTAATCAACCTTTCAATCAATATAAAATGAATTATGGTATGAATATAGAATATGTCCAAAGGACCCAATAAGATCACAATAGAGAGAAAGGAATCATTTAGATATCAACCTAAAACATACTTATATGTATAGGTATAATTAATAGGTCATGTAATAAACCCATTACTTCTTCAATGCCCATAAGCATTATTATGTTCTCAACATAAATTTATACTCTTTAATATAAATTAAAATGCAAGAAAGAAAACCATTCATGTACCGTACATAATTTAGATATCAATATTGCACCACTTATCAGTTTAAAAAAATGCAGTACGTTGAACAATGTGCTGACAAACTAAACACAGAGTTTTTTACTGACAAATATTACACACAAATTCATCAAATATCACCACACTTGGCACATCCTAGCTTTCAACCATTGTCATAGATACATGTATATGAATAGTGATACTTGTACTTGGTACACTTCATAAGAAAACTCTTTAGACCATGGATATTATCTTATGGAGCTTCAAAGTACATGGATTGCACGGATTGATAATAATGCATGAGATAAGCAAGAACCTAAATGCTGGCAATAAAACATACATGTACATGTATCAAGACTGGTTATACACTGAAAATGTCAATTAAATTCAATTCAATTCAATTTCAATTTATATCTCTGACATGTAACTCCATAAAGAATACATAAAACAAAACATTAGAAAGACTATTGAGACAGCACAGATTCATAAGAGGAACCCTGTACAAAATAAAGACAAATAAATGAACATAAATGGAATTTGAATAAAATTAATTGACAGGCAATAGTAATAAAAGTGAAAACATACCCCCCCCCCCATACACCCATTCATTTCAATACATGTACCACACCCCTATTCACACAAAAACACTCATCAGCATACATTACATACAGCACACGCAGAACAGTTTCACAGAAGAAGAAAAGGGATACATGTAGAGACAAAGAAAAAGAGAGAAAGAGAGAAAGAGAGAGAGAGAGAGTATAGTACCGGTATACAAATATTGACTGCTCATGATAATTTCCTCCACCATCCGAAATACAGAGCAGTCCATATTCGTTTTATATACCTCATCCTTTTCATTGGTTAATGAATAGGTCTAGAAAATAAATCCAATATCAGGAGTCTCTATGCTCCTCACAGTAATATATTTAGTCTTTTGAAGCTCAAAACAGTTTCAAATCCAACGCTAAAAGAAATCCAAGTACAGTTACTGCGGCCCAGCGTATAAATTGCATGGATTGAGCGTGCATTTGAAATCTTGTACGCTCTGTGTGCAAAAGTCGCAGAGGGGTTAGGAGTCCTATCACAGGGGTTGATAGTAGCTATCAAACCCTCTGACGCAGTGATAGATCGAAATACTCTTAATAGTCATGTGATATAGTTTTGACCAATCAGTGAATGACAATCTATGTATGAGGTATATAAAAAAAAAAGAAGCTTATATAGGTAAGATGAAGAGGATGATGAAGCTCCTACTAAGTACACAAAATATGCTTCAACAATTCCTGTTTATATAAATATTTGAACCTTTTAAGATTCGTTATGCTCTTAACATTATTATCAATTGCAAATATGAAGCACACTTTAAGTCCAGAAAAATAGATTGCACAATTTTTGATTCAGTCACTTGATTTAATAAATGGCATTAAGATTCTATATTATACAAGAAACCAACATTATAAATGGCTCGGTCGGTGAAGGATCTGCCTGTTGAAAATCCTGGGTTTGAATCCAGCCAAGGCAGAGTTTGAATGTGCCCCTTTCCTGTTCCATAGACGCAGGTTGGTTTGCAGACGGAAAATACTCCGTCCCTCAGATAGGACGTAAAATGGAGGGCCTGTGTAGAAGAGAGTCACCACCTTTAATAGCATGTTAAAGGTAATACAAAGTTTTGATATTTGTTCATGAATTTGGTTCAAATAAACATATTGGAAGCATATGCAATTTTACAATATATACAATGATCGTTTTCGCTGTTGAAATCGAGTCTAAAGTGATAAAATTGTAAATAATAAACTCTTTATGTTGCATAGCTCCCTCTCAAGACTGATATTACTTTAGCTTTAAAACAATGTTTCTTGACTACAATCGACAAAGCCATTGTATATATCCCCAAATTTGCAGGGTCTCCTTTACCTCCACAAATCACCATCAACGTATATTCAACTCACCAGCCAGACTCTAAATGCCCTCTGCAAAGAAGCCGTGGATCGCATAGGCCATGTCCTTGATGGGTAGCTCCGCCCGTCCTAGCTCCGTAAAGGTCTTGGCGTCCAGCACAACCAGGAAAGGGGAACCCCCCTCATTGAAGTTTAGCACAGTTGATAAGACAACGCCTTAGAGAAAAGAGGTACATTGACACGTTTTAGAATTATTTTTGTATTTATTTATCAAACCTTCCATGTTATAAATTACACATGCATATCAAATGCACCATTGCATGACACATGCTCCATGGTCAATTTCTAGTATGTACATGTAACAGTGCCTGAATTAGAAGACTATGAAGACTTTACATTCTACTGCACCACAGAGGTCCTGTACTACATGTATATTCTACACAGCCAGAGACTGACCGAGCTAGGCTAGGCTCAAGGCTTTTTTGATTTGTGCTGAAGTGTCAACTTAGAGTCCGTGCCTGCGTACTTGTCAAATTCTGATTTCAATCATAAGATAAGTAAATAAAAAATAAAGCGTGCAAGACAATAAATAAATCATGTAAGTATGAAAATAACCACAGAGAAAAATCCTAGTCATACCATCGTCCTCCTCCTGGCCCTCTGGAGTTCCAATAAAGACAGGCTCAGAGGGGTAACAACCATCTTCATACCATATCTTACTTGTTCCAGCCTCGACATCTATCTTGGCAATCTAGGATAAGATATTTATATATTGTTTGGTTTTATTGCGATGATATGACTACCTCACAATCCATTACTGAAATATCAAATTTGTGATTTGCATAAATTTATTGAACTCGTATTTCAAACACTCACAACTCTCTTATTATTGGTACAATGCATTTCAAACGTTCGCCATTCTGTTACTCATATTTTTCTGCTTTCATTCAAATGAACTTTTAAAAAGGTTGGATTATCCTTTAAACTGCTATATCTCTTTTTAATATAGATGTAATAATCCAAATTCATATTTCGATGCCTGATAGCGACACAAAACCCCTAACATCATCAGCAAACACTTGAGTGATTGGCATCAGCGTGTCCCTCTCCTGTTCTATAGCAGTCTGTCTTCATCAGCTCAAGTTTGCCAAATAGCTTGCTATTTCTGATTCTGGAAATTAGCCTGATCATGAAATAGCGGGCGATTTGCTTGGGAAATCTTCCCAAGATATCTTGGGTTAGTTTGACGCTCTACGGAGGACTGCTAATGGCAGAAAATCATTGGATCTCAAAATTAACATTGTTGAGAGATGCGGGATCCAAACATATTTTGAAGAGGGAAGTTGTTATATTTGATCAGTAAGGCTTCCCCTTTGCAAAGATATGAAGTTTGCATCAGTTCAAAACACTTTTGATTCTTTGGATGACTACTTTAAGTCTTATGATTGGTCTCTAATAAAAACAGATTCTTACCCTGTTATCATGCTCACCTGTACCTAATACGCCATACACGTACTGGTACGGTTGCCCATTGTACTTCTCATAGTTGATTCTTGGCAGCTCTATGCCTGGTAGTTACAAAAACAAGAGAGACACACAATAGTTATTGAAATTTTCTTTGAAAGGGGGGGGGGGCAATTTCACTCTGGATTTAGATTATGGACTGTTAGTACAGTTCCATATGAGAATATACAGTTTATGCTGTGACTTAAAAGTAATACAAAGTTTTGGGAAATTTTGAAAATTGGGTGGATAGTGATTCTTTACAATTTTGATATATTTGGATGCCCCTATGGATGTATTATAAGCACTAGAAAATTTAGCTCCTTAAAACATTTCTACTTTTGAGAAAAATTGAATATTAAAATTTACTGGTGTTCCTGGTAAATTTTGATAAATTTCAAATAGCGCCTTTTGCCGTACAATAGTAGCTGCGACCATGAAAATCTCAGAATATGATATGATATATAATTTCCAAACGGGAATAGCTAATCAGTCGATTTTGGTCGAGAAAAATTGTTTTATAGCTTAATTAATATCTTGACCTTGAGAGGGAGCTATTCAACATAAAGAGTTTATTATCTACAATATCAAAACTTTAGACTCGAGTTCAACCGCGACAACGATCACTGAATATTGTAAAATGTAGGATCGTTTATGCTTCCAATATGTTCATTTGAACCAAATTCATGACCCTATACCAAAGCTTTGTATTATCTTTAACAGAGAAATAAGTCTCGAGCATATGTCTTGTAAAAAAAAAAGTCAAAAGTCTCAAGACATAAGGTACCTTGAGACAAAGAGGAAAGCATCGAGTACTAGACAGGGTTCCAACAGAAATTCGAAACCAAATTCAATGACTTTCCATGACCCATTTTTAATATTGCCTGTTTCCATGACCAGAGAGGTACCATTTTGGTGTAGGTCATAGCATCTAAGCGGCGTATGAATAATACCACTCTGAAAATATGTTGCTCCGTGTTTGTGATGGCCTCTACCTACCCTCATAATTTCCATGACTTTCCATGACTTTAGGAGCATTTCTTTCATCTTCCATGAGTTTACATGACTTTCCAGAAAAATGTATTTATCCATTTTTTTCCATGACAATGGGAGCCCTGCTAGACAAAGATTTCATTTGGTGAATTATTTTTCGAAAATTCAGTTCCTTTGCATAACGGATATTAGTAGAACTGCCTTCGAGAGGAGTTGATAGGCAAAGAGACCTACCTACGTCACACAGGACGAATGGCTTGCAGAAGATGGTTCCTTCTGATTCCATGTATGCGGTGGTCTCGTTCTTGTGCAATGTTGACACCGTGTCACCGGGTTGGAAACCCTTCATGAGGTGTAAAAAGAAAGGAAATTATCAAAGAACATACTGTATCTTCATAACTTTCACGGGTAGCGCAGTGCTGGGGGTGGGGTGACTATGGGGGGAGGGGGGGGGGGGCTCCTGACCCCCTTATTAAATTGACCAAAGAAAAGGGAAAAGGAAAATTGAAAGTAGAAGGAAACTAGATGGAACTTCGACTGCGCGCAGTCGAAAATGATGCCTCCGTCATAGAGCAATTTTACAAACCAAAAAAGAAGAAATTTTTCGAATTCAAGTTCAATTGTAATCCATTAACAGGTTCTCAGAATATTGTGATTACAAGCTATTTTTGCATACATAATGAGCCCATGACCTTTGACCTTATGAACCAAGAATCTACTCAGTTCATTGGCTCTGCAAGAAACATACATGACCTAAGTTGGCAGGAATCCATCAATCGGTTCTTGAGATAATGCGATCACGAGCTGTTTTTGCATACATAATGTGCCCTGTGGCCTTTGACCTTTGACCTTGTGACCCCTACATCTAATCAGTTCATCGGCTCTGCAAGTAACATACCTGACCTAAGTTTGGCAGCAATCCATCAATCGGTTCTTCAGATAATGCGATCACAAGCTCGTTTTGCATACATAATGAGCCCTGTGGCCTTTGACCTTTGACCTCGTGACCTCAAAATCTAATCAGTTTTTCGGCTTTGCAAGTAACATACATGACTTAAGTTTGGAAGCAATCCATCAATCGGTTCTTCAGATAACGCGATCACGAGCTCGTTTTGCATACATAATGAGCCCTGTGACCTTTGACCTTTGACCTCGTGACCCCAAAATCTAATCAGTTCATCGGCTCTACAAGATACATACATGACCAAAGTTTGGCAGGAATCCATAAACCAGTTCTTCAGATAACGTGATCACGAGCTCGTTTTGCATACATAATGAGCCCTGTGACCTTTGACCTTTGACCTCGTAACCCCCAAAATCTAATCAGTTCATCGGCTTTACAAGATACATACATGACCAAAGTACGGACGTACGAACGGACGGACAACCCGAAAACATAATGCCTCCGGCTACTTCGTAACGGAGGCATAAAAAATGTCAAAGCAATTTTATTGTGTACATGAAGCTTGGTGCATGGGAGACAATGGTTTAATTGAAATATCTGAATAAGATTTTAGTTAAGATTATGCCTGATCAATGTTGTCAATGTATTTACTACCTCCATATCCTAACAATGTGGTTCTAATTTTATGTAATAAGATAGGATAAGAAAGCTTTCTATAAGTTTCCTTTTGTGCCAATTCATATTGGTAAGCTAGCATACTAATATTCTGCTTTTATATAGCGCTTAATACATCTATGATGTCCCTAAATGCTTTACAGATATACTATTACCCTGGTCATTGGATTCAACACTTACCTGCACACACTGTGTGCACAATCTCCACTCCCTGGGGAGCAATCCAGCCAGGCGTTACTTGACGTTAAAAAACTGTTTGACCCACACAATGATGATCGCATCCTACAGGGTACCCGTTTAGGCACCTACAGGTGTAGGTGCAGAGTAGCAAGTGCAGGTTAATATCTTGCCGAAGGATATTAGCGCCGTGTCGGGATTCGAACCCTCGACCATCGCATCTCCAGTCAAGCGCCTTAAACTACTCGGCAACGACACTCAACATGGCTTACCTCAACATCAATGGGTAAGTAGTATCTCTTGCACTGGACCCCAACGTCTACCAGCCCTTCCTCCTCCAGAGTCTTGAGGTACAGCCTCTTCATGATCTCATTGTCCTTATAGCTGCACATGTCGATCACGATGTGGCCCTCCTTCTCAAAGGCATTGATCTGGTGAAAGAAGAACTGCGCCTCGGTGATGTACTTGGTCGCAACGGGGACGGTGTCCGAGCGCCTCACCACGTGGAACCTGGTGGGTTTGTCCGGGCAGAACTCCAAGACGTCCAGGAAGGAGTAGCCCATGACTGCCAGGGATGCCAGCTTGATCATGTTGATGTAGAGGGGCTGTTCGACGAGGACGAAGTAGTTGGGCGTCATGAAGAAGCTGTGGGAGTAGGAAGGGTAGGTGTCCGTCGTGGAGATGGTGAGAGCGATGGACGCCTCCTTGTAAATCGACTCATTGTTACCTTAGATAGAGAAAATGAAAGCAGGACTTTAATCATACAATATACATGTGAATAGTGCATGTATCAGTGCAGCTACCACCAAAAATGTGACTCCCTATACTATCACCATCAGCTGCCCTCCCAAGCCAACCCCCCCCCCCCCTTAAAAGCCCCCTATTAAGTGTTGGGAGCCCCAAATTCGAAAACAATTTGATGGCAAAATTTTACTTAAATTGTATCATGATGTGAAAGAGGATGTCATTGATGACACACTTCTGCAAATATTTCCCCCCAAAAAATGATAAAGAATACATACTTTAGGTTTTCTGTTGTATGCGGAAACCTAAATTTTGTATCCTTTCATCAATATCCGACTTCAAACACATTTGCTTTGAAAATCCTTGCAGAAATGTGTCTTAAATGACAACTTCTTTCACATTGTGATAAAATTTAAGTGAAATTTCTCCATCAAATTATGGGGCTACCAACACTTTAGAGGGGCTTTAACTAATCCTTCTACCCAACCCTACATGACTATACCCCCTACCCCCACCCCTTCCAAGCAGTTTGGATTAAGGTGGGGCGGGAACCAAATCAGTCTATATCCTCCAAAAGTGGCAAACACCATGATCTCTCTCTCTCTCTCTCTCTAAGTGCCATATCGATTGACTTTGGCGATCATGCTGTTCCACAACCCTCGGTTCCTAACCTTCTGTATTAGTACCACTACCAGTTCTTTTACTCCTCTCTCTTCCAACAATTTCTGCAGACTGTCCATCCAAAGTATCCTCCTTCTTCCCCTACTCCTTCTTCCCACAATTTTCCCTGTCAGTGCAAGATTCTCTAGGCCTTCTTTACGTGTAATGTGACCCATGAACTTCAACTGCCATGATCACTATATTTTATAGTTGGTTTTAACAAATATTAGAAAAGAGGAAGATATAGATCAAGAACTCCTCCCCATAATTCAGAGGGCTAAGTTAAAGAAAACACAAATAGATTTGAAGTACTTCTTCTTCTTCTTCTTCTTCTTCTTCTTCCATTTGTTCCCCTAGTCTTTATACGAATAGTGCAATAGGTTCTTAACGTGCAAAGGTACTGACTCTTCTCTACACGGGACCACCATTAAACATCCTATCCGAGGGACGGAATGTTTTCCACTTAACATAGCCTGGGCCTATGAAACAAGGGGGAGGGGCACGTTAACACACAACGCAGGCTTCAGTCATCTGCCTGGGTGGGATTTGAACCTGAGAACTATTTGGTTCGACAGGCAGAGGCTTTACCAACTGAGCCAACTTGCATGATTACCTTCAGTTGGAGGTGGTAATTTGATGAGATTGTAGGTACTTCTCGCCCCAAAGTTGACCCCAAGGTTGTAGATGGTCCCATCAGCACTCTGATGTGGGTGCGCGGTTCCAGTAAAGACAGAGATGATCTTGGATATATCAACCTTTGAGATAGAGATATAAGAAGAAAAAAAGAGAAGATTAAAGTCCATCACTGAGTGATCTCTTCATTCCTATTTGTTATATTCTTATACTATTGCATTATTCCCAAAGATTTTTCACTCCCTTGGAACTGAATTATTATATTTTTAATAAAACTTTGAAGAAAAAATTAATGATGAGCATATCTTACACCCATATTTCAATGTAAACACTTATTTATTTTGAGTATAAAAAATATATACATACATATACATAATATTTAGGAACATAAACAATGATAGTTACTTAAAAATGATATGGATGCATCGCTCTATTCAGAGCCATTAATTTGATAGCTCTGTTTTTCCTAGAGGTCCAGAATAATTAGTCCTTGGACTACTAATTTTTATTTAAAAAAAAAATTAAATTGGGAATACCTAGAAATTATGACAAGAACTTCTTTTATCCATTAACATTAGTTCACATCTTATTTCATATGTATGTACCCCTACTTCCCCTTAATTGGTATTTCATTTGTCTTTTAATACCTTCTTCAACCTAAACTATATTGGAATTCAGTTAAACTAAAGTACTCTCATGTGGAAAATACCCTGCATATGTCATAACATCCAATCATCCAATACCACAGGTACAGGTACCAGGACATGTATACACATATGTGGTAGAACCAGGCGCGGATCCAGGATTTCTTAGGGGTGGGGGCCCAATTTTTTTTCTTTTTGCTTCCGAAAATTTGAAAATCGCTCTACCTGATCAAACTTTCAAATCTACGTCGACCACCCTTCCTGTGTAAATTTCCTCACTCTTTCAGCAACAGAGAACATCATATTCTCTTAGGTCTTCACCAGCTCCTACCTTTGTCATTCCCAAATCCCGTAAACAGGCTGGTTTCAAATCCTTTTAGTCCTTAGCCCCACGTCTCTGGAACAAACTCCCCTTGTTCTTAAGAAAAAGTACTTCACTGGATTTTAGCCTACTAGATTTCTTCAAAAAACAACTGAAAACTTAGCTGTACTGTACAACTCTTAAATTGTTGATAATCTAAGAGACAGCGCCTTGTATCCTTTCGAAAAGGCGCTATATTATTCATTACTTACCGTTTCCTCCTTCTCCAGAGTGACAGGGTCAATTTTCTGGATCAGCGGAGTCTCTGTGATGGTGTAGAACTGGTCGCCGGACCGAACCCAGTTCACATTGGCATTGTCCGTGAACTTGAGGCGGGTCAGAAAAGTGGACATTGCTCGACTGAAGATGTTGAGACAGGGATCGGGGAACCCAGCTGTCCCAAATTCAGTGTAGACGATGCGGTTCTCCTTCATGGCGGCTTTGTAAGCGTCACTGTCCAGGTACCTTAGGGCAAATTTTGAAATGTAAGGATATTGAGTAATTCATAAGGACCGCTATTCATAAGGACTGCTATTCATTATTTGAGAAAAGGGTCATTATTCATAAGGACCGCTATTCATAAGGACAACTATGCATAAAACACTAAGGGGATCACTATTTACGAAGGCATAAGGACCACTATTCATAATGTGAGATGAGGGTCACTATTCATAATTCACATTGAGGGTCATTATTCATAAGGACAGCTATTCATAATACAAGAATAAGGTCGCTATTCATGAATTCGTTCATTTAATGGATTGCACATTCACTGATGAGCATTGCATGTATCCAACTGATTACACCTCATTAGTCCTAGGCCCCATTCACTAGTAATAATGGGTATAATAGTGTTTTATATAGACATTTTAGGTCTATCGGCTGCTTTATTAACAGAGAATATTACCAATATTATTTAAGTTTTATGACCAATCAGTCTTACACCTAATTGGCTTATGATACTCCAATGGTATACTAACAAACCTATCCTGCAATATGTGCTGTCAGGGTTTAAGAGGTATATAGTGTAGTAATGCTAAGACTAAGCCTTACCCTAACCCTTAGCTCAATCCTGACCCTTTTAAAGTATAACACTATACATTTTGAATACCTATGGTGGAAAGAAAGGTGCAGGTTAATGGTGCATAAGAAAAATATGATATCACCAGCACTATTTAACTGACCTGCTGTAGTATTTGACAGAGCCATTATCAAAGGTAAATCGATGGAGGAGGGCCAGACCATCAAAGAAATGCTTGTACTTTGATTCGCCAATCTCAAACCTTCCTGGACCAGTCCGTAATAAACTGCCTTTCAGCCAGCCTGGTATAGTTCCTTTATTTTGAAAATAAGACAATTTATTTGAATTATTTATTAATATAGGTTAAAAGTTTTGATTTGACAAACCCAATTCAAAAAGTTTAGTGGTCTTTTCCCACTCAAGCACCCAGCAATAAAGTTCTACCTCTGTGATATTATGATTTTTTAACAATTTTTTTTTAAATTTTGTGTTCGGGATACATCTTTTATAAATGCCGAATTTCTTTATGCTATAAAGTACAGTCAAACCTGCTTTAGAGACCACTAGTCTATAAAGATCACTTTATGTGTTCCCTTGGGCGGTCGCTATATGCAGGTTTGACTGTAGGCCTACAAATCTCTTGGATGACTGGATGTACCTTTGATAGTTGCCTGGACTCCCTCAGGATGTTCCTCAATGTGCATCTGGCTGTAAGCCTTGGTGGATAGTCTGAAAGACAAACAACAGAGATTACCGTAAAGTGAGGATGGCAAACTACTCTGAAAGAAAGCAGAAAATTGAGTGGTATTGTCATGATTGTGTAGAAGGGAAATTTGAATAACGGTAATGAATGATGTGAATTTATTGCTTCATTGCTATACAAATAATACACAGGTGTGTGTGCGTTAGGGTCGATGCAGCAGATGAGGGTATTCACTATGGTGCAATAAAATTCATGAGGCGTAACCGAGTGCATTTTGTGCCATTGTGAATGCCCGAATAGCGCTGCATCGCCATAACGTCACAAACGAAAACCTGTGTATTATTTGTTTTATAAAATGGGTCGACAATATCTTAAAGGCCCACTGCACTACTTGTAGCTACTTGCGCCCTCTATATAACAATGCCTAATCGGTGACCATTGGTCCCCCATGATCCTCTTTTTCTTATGTTAACTAAGAGCTGAGTTGATGAGATAACCACCTGTCCAGTGACCTTGCAAGGCGGTCTAATCCCTCCTGTAAACTATGGCAGATAAGCTTTAATTAGCAAGGCGATAAGTAAACCTGCAACCTTCATAACAAATAACATGTGCACATAGAGGATCGCGGCAGCAGTGGCCTTGTAAACAGGACTGTGCAGCGCATGGTGCAACTTCTACTAAAAATCCCTTGCACGGTTGTTATCACCGAAATGCGGCCGTACACGTATCGTAAAAGTTAATGCACCCACACATGGATCCATTTTGACGCTTCTCATTGCATTGGCTACATTCTTGAACCCATTTCATAATTCACATTAACACATTCCGTCAATCGATCTCCATCTCCCAATTATTAATAATCGTCTAGAAAGATACATGTGATCCCAACTAATTTGATGAGTGAATGGAGTTTCAATGTGATTGTGATGTAACCTAAGTAAAACAAGGCCCCCGTCATCATGGTCATCCTGATCCTGCCACTCGCTCACAACAAATGTACTAGGCCTACTAGCAGTAGCACACACTAGCCTCATACTCATCATAGACTACACGGTACATGTCATTATGTATTTTATTGCATAGACTAATTGTGATATTGATAATCATGATAATCACCGACAACAGTCGACACTAGCTCGATCCTGTTGAACTTGAAAACATTTCGAGCTAAAGCCTAAACAACATACTTTTGAATGGTAGGCGTAGATCTACAGTATCTACAATATTTACCTTTCACTTGCCATGGTCATTTTTCCTCTGACTGAAATATGCGTTGACTTATGTAGATCTATATGATCTAGATTTCAGTTCAATAATTATATGCGTGCTACGCCCACTGCACTGCACTAGCACTGACACTGCATGCACGCACAGTAGGGCGGTTTCAGGCGCGGCGTCTGCTAGCTAGCTGGCTTGAGCTGAGAGATAAAATCTCAAATCCCAGTTCGCACCATGAAATTGGCGACCAATAACATCGAGGAAAAAGAGGAAGCAAGCGACCAAAATGAAGATTATGGTGTCTCCAAAACAGCCAGTCGAAAAGAAAGCTTGCACATCTCGATTGACAAGGCAACTGAAGAGAGAGACTAGATTTGAATGTTTTACAGCTATTTTATCACTTTAAAGCCCCAATGTTTTTTTTTTTTAACTCTCATATGTTTCTGCAAGGATTTTCAAAATAAATGTATTTGAAGTCGAATATTGATGAAAGAATACAACATTAAGGTTTCCTGCGTAGGCCTACAACAGCTCCCAAATTATGTATTCGTTTAGTTTCTTTTGAAACACATTTTTTTTTTTTTTTTTTGGGGGGGGGGGGGATCTTTGCAGGAGTGCGTCTTAAATGACACACTCTTTCTTTTTTCTTTCTTTTTTGATACAATCTAAGTGAAATATAGCCATCAATTTTAGGCGAATTTGGGGTTCCCAACACTTAAGAGCGGCATATAAGGGGTATATAATTAGCCGCACAATTAGTATACAAAAAAAGGCCAAAATACGTTTTCAAATACTATAGGCCCTATATGAAAAAATGCTTAAACAGGAAGATCCAGACCCCCCCCCCCCCCCCAAAAAAAAAAAAAAAAAAAAAAAAAAAAAAAAAAAAAAAAACCAAACCCCCCCCCAAGGCATGATCAAGCAACTTTTTAGCTTTAAAAAGGTTTAGGTAATCATTAAGTAAAAATGTCATAAAAAGCCTTTTATGTTGAAAACGTATATTTTGGCCTTTTAAATCGAAATAAAATTTATACCACAAGTACATCAACATCTATAAATCAGGATGATTCCCGGCAACAAGATGACAATGATTTTTTTTTTTTTTTTGCTCTTTCACTTTGGTCACTCTTGATTATTTGAGATCCGGATAATATATTTTAGGGCAAGAAGCCCTCCTAGCCCTCACGCGAAAATGAGCCCGTAGGTTTATGTAAACGAGGGATTAAAAACATCCAAATTTCATACAATAGGCTATTTATTGATACACAAGATTAAGAATAATGATTTTCTTTTTTAATCCATATCAGGCGCGTACGCAGGGGGGGTGTTTGGGGGGTTAAACCCCCCCTTTGGTATTTTTATGTGTGTAAACCCCCCTAAAAAATCACTAAAACCCCCCCCCCCCCCCCCTTTGGATTTTTTTTTTTTTTTTTTTAATTATTAAAAAAAAAAAAAAAAAAAAAAATTACCCCCATGGCTGACCTAAGAAAGAGAAAGGTGACCTTACCCCCCCCCCCCCCCAACGGAGCAAAATGTCAAATTTTCAAATTTCGAGACCAAAAAAAAAAAAAAAAAGTGTCCCCCCCCCCCCCCCCCCCCCCCCCCCCCCCCCCACTGAGCGACTTTTTGGCCGGCGCGATTTTCAAATTTTCCTGAGTCGTTGCGAAATTTTGGACCCGATTTTAAACCCCCCCCCCCCCCCTTGAAAAAATCCTGCGTACGCCACTGATCCATATAATGTAAGTTATAATATTTTATCAGTTACGAGCTATGCGTTAAACGAACAATTTCTGATTTAATCATGCATTCAAAAAACAGTATATAGTACATTTTTTTAGATCAATATCGACTATTTCCTTAAACAATAGTCTGAACATGATTAAAATCACGTCTACTTGTTTGCGGGCTCGTTTGCTCCACTCAACAGATAAATTGCGTGTTCCCAAAAGGGCCTATCATAATCTCAACTTGAAATTGAAATTAAAAGTTGTTAGTGCTCGAAATGTATTACATCTTTAAGATGTTTATTCTGCTGTATTAACATTACACATATCATTTCCATATTGGACTGTAGTAAAGACTTATTATCTAATTTCCCTTTACTGTATTACATACTAGAACTTACACGGTCATTTTATTTTTGAGGACACCATAGTACAAATTCTATCGTTTTCCGCGCTAACAGACGTCAGAAGTTGTCGGTCGCGGACCGGAAGTATTATTGGTCGCTGGTTGAGCCCAATCTCCGAGCTGATGAGAATCTTGTTTGTAAACAAAAAAATAGCCCTGGGAAAGTAGTCTTTTGCAAAGCGTTTGTAATAATTTTTTTCTCATGACGTTCATATTCTTATTTTCAGAGTATTATCCAACGATTATACACTTTTTTGTTAAAAGGGAAGTCCATCCTGATATTAAAGGTACAATGTCCCATTTGCAGGCCAAAAAAATGAAAAAGTTAAATTCCAACTGCATTTGAAAGATAATACTAATTTAGAACTTCCCTAAAAAAGGTGGGGCTTGAAAATGTCTTCAATTGGAAAAATAATGACTATTAGTTGTCAAATCGACTTTAGGGCTACAGAGCCCAAAAGTAATAGTCTTGATTTTCAGAGAATTGTACCGAATGGTCATACGTTTTATGCTGCGCAAAGACTCAATCAGTTTAATCTTGGCCACCACATGAAGTGGGTTATTGATGTAGACAAATGCTCATGTACCCTTTACAACTCTTTTCATATATATGTTATTACCAAAGAAGAAAAAGTCAGTCAGTCACTCAATAGTGTCTGACAGTGAAGTCTAGCAAGTAAACGGGTTTCCTTGCATAATTTGAATATGAGGACACTGCTAACGTTTAAATTTCACAGATAGGACATACATGACATATTCATAATTCCTGCAAAGTTCTACAGCATTTGAGGTTGGCTGCAAAAGGGACATAGTACCTTTAAGTTGGATTTAACAGAAGCAGAAAAATTCGTTAAACGGGTCAGTAAAAGTTTGAGCAAAAACTGATTAAAAATAAGAAATGCATTTTGGAAGGATCTAGTCCTGAGCGATCAATCAAACACAAATTGTGACGCAAAAGATTGTACAAAATAAAAATTTCATATTTTCCCTTATTTTTTTTCTCAATCATACATTCGCCCTATAAATAATTGTTTTTTCGGCTTCTATCAAAACCAACTTAATATCAGGGTGGACTTTCCCTTTAACAATAAAGGTTATACCCGTAGGAATATTCTTTCTAATACACAATGACACCATGAAGCAGACAGAAGCGACCGAGTAAAAAATTAAAGATTTGTGAGGTCACATTTCGACCAATTAGATCTTATTAAGAGGAAAGAAATTCTGATGAAAAGACTTGTAAATATTTACAAAATTACATCAACTATAAATGTGAGCAAGCTTGGGGGAGGGGGGGGGGGGGGAGGTGGATTCGAGAAAAAAAAACGCTATTAGGGGCCAGTTATGGAGAAAGGGAAAAGGGCACTTATCAGAGGGGAACATGAAACGTTTTACAAAAGAAAAGGAACACGTGTCTAAGTAAAAAAAAAAGACAATTATCAGAGATGAAAAGGGGCATTTCTCGCACATTAAAAGGGGCACCTATAAGAATGGAAACTTTGCACTTAGTACAGGGGCAAAAGGGCACCTGCCGAGGACGGCAAGGACTCTTATTAGAAAGGAAATGAGTGCACGCGTCCAAATAAAACGGGTCCGTATCAGAGGTGAAAAGGGGAACTCACGAGCGATGAAAGGGGCACTTCTAATCTTAGTAAGGAAAAGGGGCACTTGCCATATTAAAATGGGCACGTCTTATATTTGAATAGGGGCAATTATCAGAGGTGAATGGGTCACTTATACAAAATGTGAAATGTGCACATAAAGGGACAATTATCTGAAGTAAAAGGGGTAACTTTTCCCTGCCTCCCCCTTCTACCCTTGAGCAACGCCTCTGAAACTAATAAACACGAACCTGTGCCGGCCATCAACATTAACGGGGAAGATTGGGTGGCCGGGGGGGGGGGGTGTGGAAAGGGGCACGTTTTCTTTCATGTACTCCATCAAGTGAATGGAGTTCTGAATTGTGTTTTGCCAGGGCCGCGGCCACTGCACTCCATAGATCCGTCCCTTCACAAAAATTAATAATTGAAAATGACCAACACCAACAAAAACAGCATGTCTGTTTATACTGAAGGAAATAGAACACAAAATCGGACGCCTATGTCATACCCTTTTTCCCATCAATTTCTTGTTTCAATATATGTTTGCGATCATAAGCATCCGTACCACGGTGTCTAATCAATTAAGATGCAACTCATCCGTACCGAACAATTATCAAGGCGCATAATTAAAATCAATGATTCGCACTTACCCCCCCCCCCCCCCCCCCCCCCACATCATCCTGCATTCAACCGACCTGATCCACAACGTGCTTGGTTATTCACAGCCTACAATGAATAATGCATGCATAATGATAGACAAGGTGCTTAGTTAAAATGCGAAAATCTTATAACAATTCAATATAATCCCAAAACCTCTCCCTTTGAATATGGAAGCTTGGTGCAGTGTGCAACAATGTTAATCATGAGTCGGCGCAGAGACCCATTAGGGAGTTTTTGCAAGCTCAACGCGGACGGAGAATATTGATACACGCAGTTTGCATTCTGACTATTGAAATGCTATTATTCATATCAGGTGAATGAAATAATTTTTATTAAGCAACCTCACAAAGAATCAGGCGCGGATCCACGGGCCGATTCTTCCGCCCCCCCCTTTAGTCCCCCCCCCCCCTTAGCCCACCCCCAGCCTCCCAACACGGTAAAAAAAAAAAAAGGATAATAACGTAAATGTTGCCTTTTTTTTTTAAAAACAAAAAACAAAAGCGGCCCGACCCACCCAAAAATAACATGGTTGAATCGCTGCTGAACATTTTCTCACGAACTGGGCCAAAAAATAAAAAATAAGTGCTCTTATACCATTTATTTATGTATTTTTAATTTTTTTTTTTATTTATCATCATTATTTTTATTGTTATTATTATAACTCTTATTATCACTACTTCGACAGTGTAAATGAATATTCTTCATTATGGGCAAACTATTTCAATTTACACGACTAGGCAATGAACGCACCTAAGCATGATTCTGGTTTGAGCACCTAAAGCAGACAGGGTAATTTACTTT